CAGGCTGGGGTGCATGAATTTGCCTTGCTCTGCTAAATGGAGCAAAACATGGGATTTCTGCACTAAACTCCAAAGGTGCAAGCCTCCCTCCAAGGCATTGGCTGCCAGCCAGCTGTAGTGGGCCATGAAATCATCCACTGCCTTCTTGAAAGCTTCAAACCGCCATTCTTGCCAGCTGCACTCTAAGACTTGGTACGCCTTGACCAACTGCTTTGCCAATGCTTCCCTGTGCTTCCCAGCCTTGTCCATGCTGTACTCCTTGGCCAGCTCCAAAGCTACTGGGGCAAAATAGCGAATTTTAGCTCCTTTGATGTGCTTGAGGCAAGGGTATTCTTCTGCACTCTCAGCCAGGTCTGACAAAGACAGGTGCTTGATCCTCTTTTGGGCTGCCACCCCCAGCTTGTCATAGGCTTCCACTATGTTCTTGTTCAGGTTGGTTAGCCTCACAGCTCCTCAGCTGGCCAAAAATTGTTTGCTTGCACACACTATATTGGGGCTATCCAGCCGGAAAAAAAAATGAAGCTGCTATTGCTGGCAAAAACCTGGAAGCTCCTGGCAACTTCTCCATGATGCTAAAAAGCAAAGATCCATGTGCATATGCTGCTACACCAAGGTCCAGGATGTGCAAAATGTCCAGCCTAATGGACAAAGGGGTCACACATGGAGCTCTGAAGAGTGGGTGTGCTCCAAACTTCTCCTTGAGTTTGCTCGGTGACAGCACACTGGCTTTCCAGGCTGCGGTTTGCCTGAAATCTGTGAAAGGCCTGCGGCTGTCTTCTTTGCATTGGTCTGCATTGCAATAGGGGCAGAGAAGGTTGGCTGCAGCATAAGGGAAACCAAACTCAGCTGCAAACCATTCTAAATCTCCACTCACTGACCATAGCACTCCCCTCCTTATTCTCTTCCCCTTGTATTTCTCTGTGGGCATCCCTGCTTTTTTGGGCACCACACCATCCCACAGCACTTTCCAAGACCATGCCAAAACTTCCATCAGCTTCTTGGAGGTCTCCTTGGTCATGGCAGCCTTGGGCACAGCTGCGATTAGCATCTGGCTCTGGGTCACTGCCTTGCTGGAAAGCAAGCACCTTCAGGGCACATGGGATCCAGCCCAGGGCTATCCAGCCCAAGGGCTATCCAGCCCAATGAGGCAAAACATAGCAGCCAAGGTGGACATGCAGGCAAGGGCTATCCAGCCCAAAGCAGGAAAGGAAGCCAAGCCTGAAGCTGAGCACCTGGATGCTGTCCACCTCTGTGAAGGGCGCTGCATCTCCATGCAAAAGGTATGGCACTGGAAGCTGGCTTGGTTGTGATGTTTCAATCACTTTCTTCAGCTCAGCTGTCATCTGGGGGCATGAAGATTCGCTCTTCCAGAAAGCAACTAATTCTTCATCCTTGCAGCACAAACTCTTCAAGAAGTTGTTCTCTTCAGCCTGAAGGACCCAGTGGTGAGGTAGCAGGAGGTGAATGGCAGTCATTTGCTCTACTCTATGGCCACCCTTCTTCACAGCCAGGGGGCCATACACCTCCCAGGGATCTGGAGCTTCTAGAAAGCGAAAATACTTTCTCACCAAGTCTCTGTGGCAATTGCCAGGTGAATGCCCACAAGCCCCAAGCTCAGCCAACTTCCCCACACACTGGCTCTCCAGCCCACTCTTAAGTGCTGCTGAAGCAAGCTCCTGCACTTCTATGGCTGACAGCTTTCCTATGCTGAACTTCTTGAGCAGCAGCACCCACAAAGGACATGGGCCCATTTCTCCACAACTTTTGAGCAGCTAAAGGGGCAACTTCATTCAGCTTTAACAAGGGCTGTCCAGCCCAATTGCCATGTCAAGGGCTCTCCAGCCCAACAATGATAACAAGAGCTGTCCAGCCCAATTCAAGGGCTATCCAGCCCAACAATGGTAACAAGGGCTGTCCAGCCCAGCAAAGGCAAATGGCTTCCCAGCTGACCTTTTTGCTTTCAAGAGCAGCTTGGGGTTGAGTTTGCCAGTCTGCCATCGCAAAACTTTGGCCAGGGGTGCCACTTATGATCTCAACTACAGACATTTTATGTGTTCAGTTCAACACTTGGTGGGCGCCCCTGCTCTGCTTCAAAAAGTGTTTAAGCCTTCAAGGCTTTTGACACGAGCAGCTTCTTAGCTTTCAGCTTTTTCAGCACAGCAAAGGCCTTCTGCAAGGCTGGGACCACCTCCTTCTTCTTGCCCTTATCTTTGTGGAGCTTCCCCACCAAGGTCAAAACCTCTTGGCCTTCCTTCTGGGTCTTGGCAACATCCTTCAGGAGTGCCTTGGGCATGTCCTTAGAGTGGCACAAGCCATCCAAGGTTGCCAAGTCCTTGGTGAGCTCCACCTTGAAAGCCATCAGCCTGATGAGGAGTTGTGCTTGGCCATCTTCCTCCTGCACAGTGCTCATCTCCTCCCACTTGTCCTTCTTGCCTTCTTTCTTCTCTTTTTTCTCCTTCTTCTCCTTCTTGCTCTTGTCAGACTTGGTGCCCAAAGCCTTAGAGAGGCCAGCTGGCAGCCCATCACTGTCTTCACCACTCTCTTCACTTGGGGCACAGAAGTCTGCTTCTGTGAGCTTCTCTAAGCCCTTGCTCCTCATTACCTGCTCCAGCTCCTTCAGGTTGCTCTTGTTCTTCTTCTCAAAAGTGAAAGCTTGTTCCCTGGTCACATTCACCTGAGACTGCTCAGTGTTGGCCCTGAACTGCCAGTAATTGGGATCTGCTGGATCCTTCCTGGCAACTATACTTCCAGAAGCCACCCTCTCCTGCAACTCTTCTTTCCCCCAGTGTGCCAGTGCCTGGGCCTTTGTGAGCCAGGTGCTGGTGACTCCTTCACTTTTCTTCAAAGAGACCTTGTCCACCATTGCCTTGTAGTGTTCACCTGTGGTCTGCCCATCACACACCCAGCCAAACAGAAGTTTTCGCTTCTTGGCAAGGCTTCCCACTGACTCACTGGTGGTGGCTTTGTACTCCTCCTGGGCCCCAGAGCTTTTCCTGGACTTTTCAAAAGCCTTCCACAACCTCATTGCAGCCTTCTCATCCAAGCAGCTCAATGCCTTCTCAAACTGAAAACTGGACAATTGGGCTGTCTCCTCACAAAACCTGTTGTGGTCCTTGACTGCTTGAGCTGTGAGTGGCTGGTGAGCACCCTCAGGTGTATCCTCTTCCTCTGCCTTGGCAGCTGGCCTCTTGAAGCCTGCTGCTGCTGCTGGCCTCTTCATTGCTATGGCTGTGGTCTTTGTTTTCTCTTGGGGCCAAAAGCTTTCTGGATTTTGAAGCAGGTTACCCAAGTTGAGGCCAAATCAAATCACATGTGTTGCGTTTTTTTTTGTGGCTCAATGGGCTATCCAGCCCAAGAAATTGATGGCTATCCAGCCAAAAAAATAAGTGTTGGTGTTTGTTCTGGCTCAAATACCTAGTCCAAAGTAGTTATTGCAAATGGTACTTATTGTTTTGGCTCAAGGGGCTGTCCAGCCCAAAGTATATATTTGCATATTTTTCTAAAATATATTTGTACTTTGGCAAAAAACAGAAAAATAAATATACAATGATTTTTCTCGAAAGAAAACATAAATTGTTTTTTTTTATTTGTTTTTAAAAAAATATTTCAGATTCATAGATTTTCAGGTGTGTTCATGTGAATTCAGGGGTGTTCATGTGAATTCATGGGTGCTCATGGGTGTTCATGGGTGCTCATGGGTGTTCATGGGTGTTCATGGGTGTTCATGTGATATTTTTGTAGTTTTGTTTAAATCTATTTTTTTCAAGGCTGCTCAGCCTTTTTTTTGGTCAGGGCTATCCAGCCCAAGAAAAAATATTTTGCTTGGATCAAGGCTATCCAGCCCAAGAAAATCTATATGTAAAATAATTGGCTATCCAGCCAATCGATTTTTAATTCTTTACTTGCAACTCAAGCCCATAGATTTCATATATAGAATGGGCTATGCCTAGAATATCCCATAGGCTCTCCAACCCAGAAATTTTCAATAATTAGCTGGCTCTCCAGCCCAAAGATTTACATATTTAATTGGCTCTCCAGCCAATACTGTAGATTTTAAATATTTAATGGGTTCTCCAGCCCATAGATTTGAAATATTTAATGGGCTCTCCAGCCAATAGATTTGAAATAGTGAGTGGGCTACTCCTCATGCCATTTTATGGACTGTCCAGTCCATAAAATATCAATAATGGATGGGCTATCCAGCCCATAGATTTCAATTATTGCAGGGGCTCTCCAGCCCAAAGCCTCCAGCTATCCAGCCCAATCCCTTCACATCCCCCCATGGTTCCAGCAGCATTTTTTCTCGCCAAAGTCTTGACTGCGCAGAGGGTCCCAAAGTTCTTGTCCCTTGCATTTAAAAATCTGTACCCTCACAACTCCTCAGCTGATCGGGTGTTTAGAAAATATGGTACAGGGCCTCATCTGACTGGCTGAGCTTCTCATCAAACAAAAACCTAAATATTGTGAGGTTAATGTCATTTGTTGAAATTTCTTTTGGGCTCTCCGGCCCAGCCAGTCTGCTTTGGTAGGCTTGCCCTCTTTGAAATGGCTGGATTTTTCAGCAAAACAAAAAATATATGTGTTTTTTGCTGGTTTGAATTTTGGACTTCCCAGACCAGCCATGTTTCTGTACCAGGGCTTGCCTATTTGTAGGCCTTTTCAATCTCACTAAGCAGATCCCATTGCCCAGCTCTCCTCACTTGTCGAATGAAGTCTACAGTCTTGGAGCGGCCCCTGTAGCTGTTGCATCCATATCCTGGGATGGGCAGTAATGCTATCCAGCCTATCCATGACTGATGGGCTATCCAGCCCAGGTGTGGCTAGCCAGCCCAGTTGCAGCCAAAGTTCTCATGCAACCTTGGCACTTGGCACTCCTCAGGCAAGACTTCTTGGTGACATAGCTGGTGTGATAGCATTCCTTGCCTGGGAATGGCTCAGGTGAGATTGTGGGCTCTCCAGGCCAAAAACTTTTTTCAAGGCTATCCAGCCTAAAAAGGTTTTCAAGGCTCTCCAGCCCAAGAATTGGCTGTCCAGTCAAACAGATTAATGCAGCCAAGCTGGCAATGGGTCACCACATAGTCCAGATCCATGGACTCAATCACATTCCAGAAGGTGTTGTCTCCCCCTTCCCAGTCCTCGAGCTCTTCAGGACTCCTGGCACATGGAATTGTTGTTGTTTTTTTTTTGGTGGTGAAAAAAAAAAGTAAATCTATAAAAACATATTGATCAGGAACCAAAAATCTTTTCTGCCCATGGTAAATCTTGTCCCTGGTCTCCTCCTGCTCCCCAACTTCCTGTGCAGCTGCCATCTTGATCCCATCCTTGGTTCCATCCTCCATCCCAGGACTCACTCCAACCAGCCCAGGTTGAGTCATTCCAGCCCCACTCTGACCCCTCTCCTGTGTTTGCTGCTGGGGCTGCAGAAAAGGGTGGCTCCTCTGTGCTCCTCCCTCCTCCTGATCCCTTGCCTGCTCCTGGGTTGTTCCAGGGTGCAGTGCTGAAACCTCCTGTGGCCGTTGGATCTGCTGCTGGTGCTGCTTCTCCTCCTGTTGCTGAGGAAGCTGGTGCTCCTGTGGCTCTGGCAGCTGGTGCTGCTGTGGCTGTGGGGGCTGGTGCTCCTGTGCCTGTGGCAGCTGGTGCTCCTGTGCCTGTGGCAGCTGGTGCTCCTGTGCCTGTGGGGGCTAGTGCTCCTGTGCCTGTGGCAGCTGGTGCTCCTGTGCCTGTGGAAGCTGGTGCTCCTGTGCCTGTGGTGCCTGTGGGGGCTGGTGCTCCTGTGCCTGTGGGGGCTGGTGTTCCTGTGCCTGTGGAGGGTGGTGCTCCTGTGCCTGTGGGGGCTGGTGCTCCCCAGACTCTTGCAGTTGGTGGTGGTGCAGTGGCTCCTCCTGTGGGTTGTGCTCCAGCAGCCTTGCTTGTCACTCCTTGGTTGGCTGTGGGTGCCCATGGGTTGACACCATGCCCCAATTGGGCTGCTGCTGCAGCTCCCAGGACTGCTTCATTCATCCTCTCCACCATGATTTCGTAGAAATCTTGCTCCACCATTTCTGCCAGGGAGCAGGAAATTGGCGAATGTGCATGGTTATGGCTCAAGGCTATCCAGCCTAAAAACTGAAGGCTATCCAGCCCAACAACCACAATTTTATATGTGCAATAATATGTTTTAATAACTTAAACTTATTTACCCCCAACATAAAACATGGTTATGCAGCCCAAGAAAATTGTGCAGAATCCTGTGGTGGTTTCTTTCCTGCCCAACCCAGTCCTGGTGCCACCTCCTTCTTGACCCTCTGGAGGAACATCCTGGAGCTTTCCCAGTCTGCCTTGTTAATCCCAGTGTGGGATTGGGTGTACAGGCAGATCTGGAGCAGCCACATGCCCACATCCATGCCAGGGTTGTGGAACTCCATCAGGGCCCTCATGTTCTGTCTCCGGACAGCACTGCTTCCTCCTCCTGCACCTGAAGGCATTCCCTTGCCACTGGTGTTCTCCACCCAGCCCTTCTTGCCCTTGCTCTCCTCACCCTTCTTGCCCTTGCCCTCCATGGCGATCAGGTGGTGCTCTGGGCGCTTTTCCAGGGTTTTTGAGCCCCACTTCTGGTCACACCACAAATCACAAAACAGAAATGCTTTGGGCTATCCAGCCCGCAGACATGCTTTGGGCTATCCAGCCCACAGGGATGCTTTGGGCTATCCAGCCCACAGGGATGCTTTGGGCTATCCAGCCCACAGAAGCTTTGGGCTATCCAGCCCACAGAAATGCTGTGGGCTATCCAGCCCACAGAAGCTTTGGGCTATCCAGCCCACAGAAATGCTTTGGGCTATCCAGCCCACAGAAATGCTTTGGGCTATCCAGCCCACAGAAATGCTGGGAGCTATCCAGCCCACAGAAATGCTTTGGGCTATCCAGCTCACAGAAATGCTTTGGGATATCCAGCCCACAGAAATGCTTTGGGCTATCCAGCCCACAGAAATCTATCCAGCCTACTTTACCATGTGCCAGCACACACCTCATTTTTTCTTTGCACATGTCCTCCTACTTGTTCAGCTTCTTCTCCTTGTAGGCCTTCACCTCACCCACAGTCTTGCCATTTTCCAGCATCTTCTTCAGATCTCTTGCCAACTTCTTGCTGTGCTCCAGGGTGCTACTCTTCACTTGCAAGATTCTTCACTTGCAAGATCTGCCGACCTCCTTTGATCCTCACAGCACAGCTCCCCACTTTGTTGTAGGGCATCAAAATCAAGGGCTGTGTCACTCTTTCATCATCTCCCAGCTTGCCAGTGGGTACAGGTGCAGAAGCAGCAGCTGGCTTCTTGCAGGTCCCCTTAGCAGCAGGCCTTTTCTTGGCCACTTCAGCCTTCAGCAAACCCTTCCTCACAGGGATTGGCTCAGCCTTCTTGGCAGAAGCCAGCAAGCTTTCACCTTCTGACTCCTGGTCCTGGGTGGCAGGGATCTGGTACTCTTCCAAAGCAGCTGCTGTGCCAGGGCTTACTCCTTCCCTCTGCTTTTTCTCCTCCTTCTTCACTTTCTTTTTGGGGGTTGCAGCTATCACAGAACCTTCTTCACAGCTTGCTCCTGACTTTGGTGCCTTCAGCCAGCTGGCTATCTCTTCCAGCTTGGCAGCTTGGATCGAAGTCAGCTTGGAACAAGCTTCAGCCAGCCTGCCCTCATCCCTGCCAATTCTCCTGGCATGGTTGCACACCACCAAAATCCCATCTGCAAAGGCCTTGGCAGTATTTCCCTGCTGGCTGACTGGGAACCTCTCCTTCAAGTCAGGAAACTGCTTCAGCACCTCACCAAACACACTTTTCAGCATAGAGTACTTGAACTCTAGGGTGGGGCTCACTTTCAGCAAATCTCTTATCACATGCTGCACTTCTCCCAAGGCACTTCCTCTCACAGCATTGCTTGACTCTAGGTGGAAGTAAGCACCCAAGCAGAAACTGGCACAGACCCCAGCTTTCTGCACATGGCTCAGGCAGGTGTCAAGGAGGTGCTCCTCATCCACGTCAGGAACTTGTCTCCTCCTAGCTCCTCCCTTCTGGGCTTTAGACTTGGACATGTCAAAGGATCCCTGCAGAACATAATGATTTGCAGAAAACCATCTGCAGGCTATCCAGCCTAGTGCCATGTCCTTTGTGGGGCTATCCAGCCCATTTCAAGCCCATTGAAAGCTTTCCAGCCTATTGCCATGTGCTTTGTGAAGCTATCCAGCCTATATCCAGGTGAAGCTATCCAGCCTACAAGGGCTATCCAGCCCAGCCCTTGAAAGCTATATATATCCAGCCATTAAATAAGGAAGCAACCCTCATTTCGTTGTATTTTAGAACTTTTGTCTAATCAGGCAAATTCAATGGAAAATTCAAGTGAAAATTCAATAGAAAATTCAAGTGAAAATTCAATAGAATTTTCCTTTTTTTCAATCGAAAATTCAATCGTTTTTTTGCTTTTCACTTGAAAAAATCAATATTTTTTTGTAAAATTCAATCGCCACTTGAAAATACAAAAGAAATCAATAGTTCACTTGATTTTTCCCGAGAGCGCCTGCGAAGGGTTCTTCGTAAAAAAGCAGCCGTTATACTAGATCTTCACACCTTCACACCTGCAGATCTAGATCTTCACACCCTCACATCTGCAGATCTACATCTTCACACACCCTTCACACATCTGCAGATCTAGATCTTCACACCCTCACATCTGCAGATCTAGATCTTCACAACTTCACACCTGCAGATCTAGATCTTCACACCCTCACACCTGCAGATCTAGATCTTCACACCTTCACACTGCAGATCTAGATCTTCACACCCTCACACCTGCAGATCTAGATCTTCACACCCTCACACTGCAGATCTACATCTTCACACCCTCACACCTGCAGATCTACATCTTCACACCCTCACATCTGCTGATCTACATCTTCACCCCTCACATCTGCAGATCTACATCTTCACACCCTCACATCTGCAGATCTACATCATCACACCCTCACACCTGCAGATCTAGATCTTCACGCCTTCACACCTGCAGATCTAGATCTTCACACCTTCACATCTGCAGATCTCCTCTCGCTCTTCTTCTATTCTCTCTTAAGGCGGGGGCGGTGCCGCCGGAGCGCCACGAAACGCAACCCTTTCGCACGAAATGGACGTTGGACGTCCAAAACCTAGGTTGCGATTTTGAAGCGTCCCCGGCAGCCCTTTCGCACGAAATGGACGTTGGACGTCAAAAACTGAGGAAAAATTGCGACTTTGAGGTGTCCCGCGCAACCCTTTCACACGAAATGGACGTTGGACGTCAAAAACTGAGGAAAAGTTGCGACTTTGAAGCGTCCCGCGCAACCCTTTCGCACGAAATGGACGTTGGACGTCAAAAACTGAGGAAAAATTGCAACTTTTATTGGTCGCGCGCAACCCTTTCGCACGAAATGGACGTTGGACGTCAAAAACTGAGGAAAAATTGCGACTTTTATTGGTCGCACGCAACCCTTTCGCACGAAATGGACGTTGGACCTCAAAAACTGCGGAAAAATTGCAACTTTTATTGGTCGCACGCAACCCTTTCGCACGAAATGGACGTTGGACGTCAAAAACTGAGGAAAAATTGCGACTTTTATTGGTCGCGCGCAACCCTTTCGCACGAAATGGACGTTAGACGTCAAAAACTGAGGAAAAAAATGCGACTTTGAAGCGTCCCGCGCAACCCTTTCGCACGAAATGGACGTTGGACGTCAAAAACTGAGGAAAAATTGCGATGGACGCTTTCGTTTGTGTAAAAGTGTCTGTGTTTAAAGGCGTCTGTGTGTAAAAGCGTTTGTGTGTGAAAGCGTGTCTGCGTGTGTAAAAAGCACCTGCGTGTAAAAGCCTCTGTGTGTAAAAGCGTCTGTGTGTAAACGCGTCTGTGTGTAAAAGCGTGTGTGCGTGAAAGCGTGTGTGCGTGTGTAAAACGCATCTGCGTGTAAAAGCGTCTGCGTGTAGAAGCGTCTGTGTGTAAAACCGTCTGTGTGTAAAAGCCTTTGTGTGTGTGTAAGAGCTTTTGTGTGTAAAAGCGTCTGTGTGTAAAAGCGTCTGTGTGTAAAAGCGTCTGTGTGTAAAGGAGTCTGTGTGTAAACGCTTCTGTGTGTGAAAGTGTCTGTGTGTAAAAGGGTCTGTGTGTAAAAGCGTCTGTGTGTAAAAGCGTCTGTGTGTAAAATCGTCTGTGTGTAAAAGCGTCTGTGTGTAAAAGCGTCTGTGTGTAAAAGCTTCTGTGTGTAAAAGCGTCTGTGTTTAAAAGAGTCTGTGTGTAAAAGCTTCTGTGTGTAAAAGCGTCTGTGTGTAAAAGCGTCTGTGTGTAAAGGAGTCTGTGTGTAAAAGCTTCTGTGTGTGTAAAAGCATCTGCGTGTAAAAGCGTTTGTGTGTAAAAGCGTCTGTGTGTAAAAGTGTCTGTGTGTAAAAGTTTCCGTGTGTAAAAGCCTCTCTGTGTAAAGGAGTGTGTGTAAAAGTGTCTGTGTGTAAAAGCGTCTGTGTGTAAAAGCGTTTGTGTGTAAAGGAGTCTCTTTGTAAAGGCTTCTGTGTGTAAAAGCCTCTGTGTGTGTGTGAAAGTGTTTGTGTGTAAAAGCGTCTGTGTGTAAAAGTCCCTGTGCAAGCATCTGTGTGTAAAAGCCTGTGTGTGTGTGTAAAAGAAAAGCGTGTGTGTGTGTGTGCGTGTGTGTGTGCGTGTGTGTGTAAAAGCTTCTGTGTGAAGCGTCTGTGTGTAAAAGTCTCTATGTAAAAGCTTCTGTGTGTAAGAGCGTCTGTGTGTAAAAGTGTCTGTGTGTGTAAAAGCTTCTGTGTGTAAGAGCGTCTGTGTGTAAAAGCTTCGTGTGTAACTTCTGTGCTTCTTTGTGTAAAAGTGTCTGTGTGTAAAAGTGTCTGTGTGTAAAAGCGTCTGGGTGTAAAAGCGTTTGTGTAAAAGCGTTTGTGTGTAAAAGTGTCTGTGTAAAAGTGTCTGTGTGCAAAAGCGTCTGTGTGTAAAAGCGTCTGTGTGTAAAAGCCTCTGTGTAGTAGCCTCTGTGTGTGAAAGTGTGTGTGTGTGTAAGTGTGTGTGTGGTCGCTTCAAAGAAGACTTGGCAGCCGCAGGGCGCGCCATGCGCTGTGACTCCTCTTTTTCTTTTGAAGACAAACCTGTCTTCAAAGCAGAAATGGTCTGTGCAGGAGTTGGGGCCGTTTTCGCGCCCGTCCCCGTAGGGGCAAGGTCGCCCGGAACACCCTCGGCGTTCTCTTCCTTGTCTTTGATGGCTAACAAAGATGACGACCCTTTCGGATCTGGACTTTTTGAAAACAATCGCAGCCTTGGTGGTTCTGCTTGACTAACCGCAGAACTACTGCTCGCGGACTTCACGAGTCCAGCGCAAGCGGTCATTAACTGCACAACTCCATCAACACTTGCTTCCGGCGCTTTAACCGGAAGTGAAGCATCCATTCCCTTGGATCGATCACGCAAGCGAAAATTCGCAACAATCCTGCGCAAACGCTCCAAAGACATGATGCTTGGGTGCCCCATGGTAGATCCATCAGGATACAAGACACCCTGCATACAGGGAACAGACAATGTCGTGCCCACGGGCTGCAGAATGCCAGAATTATATAGCTGCGGAGAAGTTAACGTAAGAAGTCGTGCCTACCCCCTAAACACAAGCGACCTCTTGCGTTTTTGGCGCACTTTTCTTGAGTTTTGTTGCGGTGCCTATGTGTTTCGCTATCAACGCCTACTTACGGGATTTGCATTGTTGTTGTTTGGATCCGGCGGTGCCAGTGGGAACTCCTGTCGTGTCGAGCTGGTTGGGTGCTTGCCTTTTCCTTCGCCCATGGGTTTATCTTCCGGCTGGAAAGCTCTGCGGGTGCAGCAGGGATAGGTGCAGCCCATTCTGGGCCGGGAGTGGCTAGGGTCTGGTTCCAACGTCGTTTCATACGTCATTTGTACGTCGTTTTGACGTCGTTTCTTCTCCTACTACTGCCAGGAACCTGATTGCCTCTGGTGCCTGTCTGCTGTTTGCCTGCTGCTGCCTCCTGCTGCTGTGCTGCTGCCTGGTTGGAATGAAGGATTTTACTCCATCAATTGAATAAGTGCTGCAATGCTGGGTGTGTTCCTTATGACAAGGAACATGTGAGATTTTTCTTAGCGAATGTGGAATTCGATTGTTAAACAACTCAATCGAAACCATTGGCCACAAGAACAGTTTGAAACCACATCAATTGAATGAGTGCCGGAATGATTGCGGTGACAAGCAGGAAAGCCTTTTAGGCATGACTTAGGCGTGACTTTTGGAAACAGCGGTGACAATGGGGGAAGCCCCGTAGGCATGACTTAGGCGTGACTTTCTCTTTTGCCTGTATCATGTGGCAAATCTTCCCGCGACTCTGGCAATGTTGCCAAACGTGTTGAACACGGGCCAAATTTTGACAGCCACTTCTTGATTTTGCTCTTGTGCTGCTTCAAGAGTGAAAGCTGCTCAGGTTCCTTCCAAGCCTCGCCATATTCTGAAAAAAAAGCAAGACAAACCACCATGCCATAAGTGGCCTCTGTTGGATTTCTTAACGACAGCTTGCCGCACAAAGCTGTGATATCCTCCAACTTGGAAATTCCGCTTTTGCGTGACTCCAAAACGTGCCACCATTCCCTACTCAAAAGACACGGCAAGGCGCAAAAGTCTTGCAAGGAAGCACGATTCGCATCATCCTCGCACTCTGAAATCTTGGCAGCGATCAACTCTTTCAAATCGTTGAGCACTCTGTGGTCCCAAATTTCTTCAGAAAAAGAATTCACTACCCTGGAAGCCATGTCCACAGACATGAAACTCTTGTTGATTATAGGACGTAGCCGCTCAAGCTGCTTCCGTTGCAACTCAACATAGTGACTTAAAGTACGAAGGCCGGACAAAAACTTCTGTGACGCTACCACTTCTTTCAAAACTTGAGCCATGTTGTCTGCATCAAAAAACACACATCCAACTAACAAAGAACGCAAAAAATTGCAAAATGATAACTAACATAAGTAAAAATAACTTTTTCAAACCCTACCACAACAAGAACAGTACCATAAGTACGAACTAAGTAAGGCCAAAAAAAGACTAACTTATTTCTACTTTAAAAGTTATAACATGACTTAACAGAGAAAAATCATAACTTATCCCTGATATAAGTATGGTTATAAGTAGATAAGAGCAGATGATCCCCTAGTGTGGTGAACATAACGTTCATGGAACCCATTGCATCCAGGCATCAGGATGAGGTTACAAAGGCATTGTCGAAGCTGCATGCTCGGGCACGGTCCTTAGGGATACCGGTGTACCGACTGCATTCGGACCGTGAAAGGTCTTTCACAACCAAAAGCATTGCCAAGTGGTGTGAATCACGGCAGATTCACCAAACTTTGAATGCCGGGGACGAGCCCGAGGCCAACGGAAGGGTCGAAGGGGAGGTGCATCAGTTCAAGCGCTATAAGGCTGCTGTTGCGGGAGACTGGTGTCGCCCCTGCGTACTGGCCGTGTGCGGCTAGACATGGTACCGAAGAAAGGTTGCGCTCTCAAATGAGGAAGCTGGGGGCCAATTGTAAGGAGATGCCGCCGTTTGCAGTGCTGGCTCAAGTGAAGGCCAAGCGCTGGCAGCGGTTGCGTGAAGGAGCTTTGTCGTCTCCTTACAAGACCTTGCGTATCATGGGGCCATCGCCCTCAATGACCAATGGATGGGTGGCGCTGGATGAAGCAGCCAGCCTTGTGCAACATGCACGATCTGTGTTTGTTCCGGATCCTCTGGGTGACACTGCTTGTTTGGAGCTGGAAGCAGTGGAAGATCCCAAACATCCTCCAAGACGGCGCCTAAACGGCAAACAGCCGCCAGTCAGAGAAGTATCAAAACTTCCGCCTCCGCCATCAAAGGTGGATCATGAATTGGAAGCTCTGCTGAATCTTCAGCCAGCGGCTGCTGCCGCTGAGGAGAGTGATGAGTATGAACCGTCTGTCCTGGATGATACCGAGAAGGTTCCACCCGACTTGGATGAAGAGATGCCAGCTCTTAGAGTTGTGCGAGCTGGGGGGGAGTCTTTGCCGACTGGAACCCAATGCACAGATCGGGGGGAGATCGAGACGTTGCAGATTGGAACCCAACTCATAGGTTGGGGGGAGATCAAAAAGGTGGATATCCCAGAGCATGTGCAGGAAATTAGGTTTCAGCACATGAACCTCAGAAAATTGTTGCAGGAACAGGTGAATTCTGTGGCAGGAACTGAGGCGGAAGGAACAGCACAGACACGTTGCTGGCCAAGTGGAATGGCTGGAAAATGACTTGATCCATGACTCAGCGATGGAGGAAGAAATGGAGAAATCTCAAGCCTTAGCCGAAGCCGAAAGGGCTAGGGAGTTCAGGATGGCCGCCTTGGCAGCACCTGATCAATCCCAAGGGGACCAGGGGCATCAGGAAGGATGCAAACCACCCACAGTGCTCCAGACGTATACGGTGCCTCTGGCGGCAGTCAAGCAGAATTTTGACGACTGGGTGGGTCCCATCAAAGCAGAATGTCACCAACTGGTGACCGAGAGCGGTGCCGTAAAACCGGTGACTCTTCAAGAGCTGGAGAAAATGCCGGGCTATAGGGACATGGAGCTAGCACCAAGCAAGTTGGTTGCCACAGTTAAATCGCCAAATGGGAAACGCAAGGCACGGATTGTGATCTGTGGAAACCTGGTGACGAAGGCTCACGAGGATGGCAACCAAGACTCAGGCGACTCCAGTGACGGCAGCGGACTTGTACGCTGGAGGAGCTGATGCCACCGCCATTCGATGCATGGTCAGAAAGACCGCCATGATGGATGGGTGGGACATGGGAGTCCTAGATATCAAGGGCGCGTTCTTGCTTGCCCCACGCCGAAGGGAGCAGGAGTGCCTGATGATGACCATCCCACCGAAGCTGCTGGTGCAGGCTGGGACCTGTCCGCCGGAAGAGCGGTGGGTGATCCAAAAGGCGATGTACGGCCTGGAGACCAGTCCGGCCGACTGGAGCAGCTTCCGCGACCAAAGGGTCAAGAAATTTGAGTGGAGCTCAAACGGTAGGTCGTTCTGGATGCGTCAAACGGTCGAACCAAATGTCTGGCAACTCGTGTCGAGCGAGGAGCCAGGAAGAGCGGACTCGGATGAACGGGTAGAAGGTTTTTGTACCTTCTATGTAGACGATGTCTTGGTCTGTGGGCCACCGGAGGTCATCAAGGGGTGTTTGGACAGGGTGAGCCAAGAGTGGAGCTGCTCTCAAGCAGAGTATCTCTCAGAGAAAGGTACGCTACGTTTCTGTGGATCCTCTTGTCCCAGGAATCGTGGAGAGGTATCCCGATGTGAAGGAATCGCTGGTTCCGATTGGAAGGGTGGAGGACGGTGAAGAATCGCCGCCAGACCCCTCGGACATAAGAAAAGCGCAGGCTCTCGTTGGGGAGCTCTTGTGGCTAAGTACAAAAACTAGGCCTGACGTGGCATATGCGGTGAGCTGGCTTGGATCACGGGCATCAAAGTGTCCAAGGAAGGTGTGCCAGGCAGGAATGCAAACCCTGGGGTATCTGAAGCGCACCTTGGGGCACGGGTTGCTCTATACAAAGTGCCAGGAGGCCGATCGAGGGCCTGATGGGAAATTGGCGTTCTGCAGGGATGCCAACACCTTAGAGGTTCATTCCGATGCATCGTTCGGTCCGGGTGGAGAGAGGTCCCACCAGGGACTGCTGGCAGTCTGGGCTGGAGGACTGATCCAGTGGGAAAGCAAGCGGCAAGGTTTTGCCACCCTGAGTAGTTCGGAAGCTGAGGTGACGTCTTACGTGGACGCTATGTGCCTATAGGTGATTCCGTTGCCGTTTTGGTAGACATCTTCGAGGAGGGGAGATTAACCGAAGAAGGGGTCCGAGTGTTATATGGAGATTCTCAATCGGGAATCCAAGTGGTACTCAACCCAAATGGGCCTTGGAGATCAAGGCATCTCAGGTTGCGCTCGAGAGCACTGCATGAAGCAGTACCCTGAGTCTCCTAAAATAGTAAAATTTAGGTCGGCAAAAATTTACGTAAATTTTTGGATTTAGGTCGAAATTTTTACTTAGCTTAGTAAATATTTACTATTGAAAAACATTTAGGTATATACCTAAATTGATTTAGGTATATACCTAAATTGATTTAGGTATATACCTATTTTTTTGCCGTGTTTTTCACATAGATAAGTTAATACTTTTTGATTGATTTTATTGTTTTTTTTAAAGTTTTTGCTGTTGGTTTTCTAACATTTTTCATGGTGTGTCTTGTTGGCACTGTTCAATTGTAATACTGTTTTACATGTTTTATATTGGTTTGATTGTGGTGATGGCTGTGTGTTGATGATATTTTCTTTCTGATGAACATGTTTGTTTTCTATTTGCTGCTTTCTCTGTTGGACTTGCGTATGTTACTTGAGCTTTTTTGTACTTGGGCATGTTAGTTTTGTGTGGTTATTTGCTGGTTATTTTTGGGACCTGTGTGTGTTACTTGAGCTTTTTGCACTTGGACATGTCAGTTGTGTGTTTACTTGTGCATCTTGGATTTTGCTTTCGATTCCTTATATTAGGGTACTGTTTTGTGTTTGTTTGAACTTCTTCTTTGATGTTTTTTACTTGCGACAACTGTTTTACTTGAGAGATGTTTCTGCTACTTGTGTGATGTTTTTGTGTCTACTTGTTTTTACTTGAGCATGTCCAAGTGTAAGTTGCAGTCTGTGGGTCTTTTCCATGGGTAGAATTTGCATTTCAATATTGGCTCAAGTAACTCATGTGTGACTCATATTTTCTTTTCTAGTTGGTCGCCATTTTGGCCTTGTGGGCATTGAAGCCTTTGTAGAAGGTCTTGGCCTTCCTTTGACTTGGGGCATGGCTGTACTAGATGTGTTATTGCTGTTGTTTTCTATGTTTTTTATTGCAAACCAAATCTTCACTGATATCCTTATGCATTTTTTGCTCTTTTTTGCACTTGTTATGCGACTTTTGTGCACTTGTTGTGCACTGTTTTGCATGTTTTATGCATTTCGTATGCACTTTTTATGCATGTTTTATGCACTTTTTATGCACTTTTTATGCGCTTTTTATGCGCCCTTAAAAAGCGCATAAAAAGTGTATACACTTTTTAAAAAAGTGTATGCACTTTTTATGCGCTTTTTAAAAGCGCATAAAAAGTGCATAAAAAATGCATGAGGATTTTGACCAAAATCAACAAAAAATAACACAGAACAACATCAAAACCAACCAAAACACACCAAAACCAGTGTACTTTCATTTGAGTAATCACCAATATCGCAGAAACTTCAAAACCTGATATGCTTTTTAGCTTAGTTCATATCAAGGAAATCAGTGAAGTACCTTCCATGTTCAAAAGATTACAGGTAGCACAAGTAAGACAATTGGTGTGGCAAATCCTCAAGTAATAAAAAGTAACCTGCAAACGCCTTCCATTTTCTCAAGTGCTTATGTAGAAAACAGAAACAGCGCAATATCTCCAATTCCCTCAAGTAAGATATGTTTTTGCTTATTGTGCCAAACCTGAACCGGCACAACAAGCAAAAACACAATGCCCATCTTTATTTTTTGCAGAAAATCACCCAAATGGTGTTTTTTTCTGATTGCACCGCACCTGGCCCGATACTATTCTTATACAAGAACACCAGCTCCATATATTTTTCGGGGGACATCACTGACATGGTGTTTTTGCTTATTGTACCAGACCTGACTTGGTACAATAAGCAAAAACACGACTACAATATGTAACCAGCCAGGATCCCAAGTAAAACTCAAGTAAGGCATGGTCCACAAGTAATCAGCCAGGTCCTCAATACACTAGATGGTGATGGCAAAAAAATGCACCAGTGATTTCACTTGAAACCACTTACTTGAGTCTTCTTACTTAAGCCATTATATTTGAGCATTGTCTTGAAGTCCTTTTGCTTAAAAACATCTTCAATGAGTACAAGTTCCTTGGGTATGGTGAGCTACTTTCTTACATGATCATTTTATTTACACCTCAAACTTGTACCAAAAAAGAACAAATCATAAACCTGAATGCATTGATTCCATCTCAAAAATTATAGATTGCCAAAACATTTGTTAACTAGTTTTGTATGTTTTTCAACAAAAACATATACAAAAAACAACTTCCAAAAAATGAAGAAAATTAGGTATAAACCTAAATTGATTTAGGTATATACCTAAATCAATTTACTAATTTTGATTTTTTAAGCTTTTTTAAAACCTAAATTCTTCGATTTACGTAAATTTTGAAAATTAGTAAATTTACTATTTTTGGAGACTCAGGGTACAGCAGGAGGTGTGGAAGGTGAAGCACATGGCTGGTGTGGAACTTGCGGCAGATTTCCTGACGAAGCCGATCACGGTGGGAACTACATGGTCGAGATTCCGGAGGTTTGCAGGGCTTTGCGACGTGGCCGAGCCGGAGGACCTGGAGATCTTGAAGAAGATTGGGATTTGTAGGGAATGGGCTCTGAAAGGGCTGACTGTAGCTGTAGAGCTTGAAAAATGGCAGCCTGTTGCAGAGAGCCAGCATCGAATTCGGAGGTTAGGAAAAGATGGAAGTCTCACCTCTGTTGCTTAAAGTTGAAAAGAAAAAGAACGCCGAGGGAAGATGAACCCGGCAATTCAACTGGGGAATCCGGTAACCCCGGAAGCATTACAAGATGGCTGAGGGAAGATGAACCCAGCATTAATCCTGTAGATGGTCCCCATGTTAAAAAAGGATGGCTGAGGGAAAATGAACCCAGCCCACAACCTAACTAGTAAGATGCCAAGGGAAAATGAACCTGGCATTAACCCCTCAAATGGTCACCACCAAAGTCCCACCTCTTTTGGGGATTCCGGTTTTGGGGAATCGAGTTTTGGGGATAGCGTGGCCTGCAGTTTTCCATGCGGCAGGCTAGACCATGTGAAGGGACCCGTCCTTTCCACAGACTTCGGGTCACGCGACCACTGCCCTACGGGCTGCCCACGGTTCGGCTACCGGGTTCGTGCGCTACGCGCTGGAGCCATGGATGCTGCGCCGACTGCTGCCGCAGCTGCTGGTGGTGCTGGTGGCGATGGTGTAGAAGATGGAGGAGATAGGCCTGATAAGTCTTGGGTAGAGTCTTATATGACCCAAGCCAGGGCGACGGTGAGAAGAAGAAAAGAAAGAGAAAGAGAAAGAAGGCCAAGCAGGGCCACCAACAAAAGCTGAAGGCGATCCCGCCAGAGCCTACGCACGCGCCGAAGCCAAGCCCAGTGGTGGAGGACGCAGCGCGTGGCTCGGCATCTGCGACACCGGGAACGTTTGGCCGCAGGGACCGTGAGTTTGGCTACTTCAACAGTCAGGGTGATCGAGTTCCTCGCCGACGCATCAACCAAAATGGTGACCTTGAAGTTTACCGTGAAGATGGTTTGGTGGAGGTCTTCCCGAACGCTGAGGCTGACCAACAGGAAGACGAAGAGGAAGAGCCGGAAGATGACGATGAAGATGGGCAGGATGACCAGCCTGGAGACGGAAATCCTCCTGGTGGTGATGGTCCTCCTGATCGAGACCCTCCTGGTGATGGAGGTGGAGCTTCAGGTCATCAAGGCCCTTCCCTGAGTCTCCAAAACTAGTAAATTTACTAATTTAGTGAATTTACTAATGGGGAAGAATTTACGTAATTTTTTCTCCATTTTTCTTGATATTAGTAAATTTTGTGAAAAAACGAAAAGTGCATCAAAAGTGCATCAAAAGTGCATCGACCGTGCAGTTTTTTCTTAGCATTTTTGATTGATTTTTTGATTTTGTAACAGAAATGCAGTAGCATATTTTAGATTTAGTGAATGTCGTTTTAGTTCACAAAGTGACAATCCAATTTTTCCATAACAAAGAATTAATTTTCTCACATACTCGTATGTTTAATGGATATGGGCAAGTAAAGCCAGAATCTTGGCAAGTGACCAGTCAAGTAAGGACTTTTTATAGATTACCAAAAGTAAAGTCAATATTCTAAAGTCAATACCACAAAGCCCAAGAACTCATGTAAATCTACCTGGTGACAATGAACCTGCAATTGAACTGAACTTGAAGACGATGCTTTTCTTGGCTATGAACTCGAACGACACTTTGACCATTGATGCTTGCAAGCCAGAGCTGAAGAAAATGCTGCTGCCAAAGTTTTGGGCTGCATGTGCTTGAGACATGTTTCAAACAGGGAGATTTGTAAAGACTCGTGTTTTTCACACCTACACTGCACTCAGTGAATTTTACTTGAGGCTGCATCCAGTGAACTTTACTTGGGGCTGCATCCAGTGAACTTTACTTGAGACTGCTTCCTTTCTGAACTACTTGCGGCTGCATCCTGTTTCTTGGGACTGTTTCCTTTCTGAGCTTTACTTGAGACTGCATCCAGTGAACTTTACTTGAGTTTACTTGAGACTGCATCCAGTGAACTTTACTTCAGGCAGCATCCAGTGAACTTGACTTGAGACTGCATCCATTGAACTTTACCTGGGTCTTCATCCAGTGAACTTTACTTCAGGCTGCATCCAGTGAACTTTACTTGAGGCTGCATCCAGTGAACTTCACTTGGGACTGCATCCAGTGAACTTTACTTGAGTTTGCTTGAGACTGCATCCAGTGAACTTTACTTGAGTTTACTTGAGACTGCATCCAGTGAGCTTTACTTCAGGCTGCATCCAGTGAACTTGACTTGAGACTGCATCCATTGAACTTTACCCGGGTCTGCATCCAGTGAACTTTACTTGGGACTGTTTCCTTTCAGAGCATTACTTGAGACTGCATCCAGTGAACTTTACTTGTGTTTACTTGAGACTGCATCCAGTGAACTTTACTTCAGGCTGCATCCAGTGAACTTGACTTGAGACTGCATCCATTGAACTTTGCCTGGGTCTTCATCCAGTGAACTTTACTTGAGTATACCTGAGGCTGCATCTGCATCCAGTGAACTTTACTTCAGGCTGCATCCAGTGAACTTGACTTGAGACTGCATCCATTGAACTTTACCTGGGTCTGCATCCAGTGAACTTTACTTCAGGCTGCATCCAGTGAACTTTACTTGAGGCTGCATCCATTGAACTTTACTTGAGACTGCATCCAGTGATCTTTACTTGAGACTGCTGGTTCCTTTCTGGGCTTTGCCTGAGACTGCATCCAGTGAACTTTACTTGACACTGCACCCAGTGAACCTCTCTTCAGGCTGCATCCAGTGAACTTTACCTGAGACTGCATCCAGTGAACTTTACTCAGGTCTGCATCCAGTGAACTTGACTTGGAACTTGCTGCGTACATTTTTCAAGATATTTTTTGACAAATATTTTCTTTTTTAAACAGAATTCAGGAAAAAAAATGACGCAATTTTGATGCACTTTTAAAAAGTGCATCAAAAGTGCATCAAAAGGCAGCAAAAGTGCATCAAAAGTGCATCAAATTTAAAAGTGCATCAAAAGTGCATCAAAAATGCATCAAAAGTGCATCAAAAATGCATCAAAAGTGAATCAAAAGTGCATCAAAAGTGCATCAAAATGGATCAAAAGTGCATCAAAAGTGCATCAAAAGTGCATCGAGAAGGCATCAAAAGTGCATCAAAAGTGCATCAAATTTAAAAGTGCATCAAAAGTGCATCAAAAGTGCATCAAAAATGAATCAAAAGTGCATCAAAAATGCATCAAAAGTGCATCAAAAATGCATCAAAAGTGCATCAAAAATGATCAAAAGTGCATCAAAAGTGCATCAAAAGTGCATCAAAAATGCATCAAAAGTGCATCAAAAGTGCATCAAAAGTGCATCGACCGTGCAGTTTTTTCTTAGCATTTTTGATTGATTTTTTGTTTTTGTAACAGAAATGCAGTAGCATATTTTAGATTTAGTGAATGTCGTTTTAGTTCACAAAGTGACAATCCAATTTTTCCATAACAAAGAATTAATTTTCTCACATACTCGTATGTTTAATGGATATGGGCAAGTAAAGCCAGAATCTTGGCAAGTGACCAGTCAAGTAAGGACTTTTTATAGATTACCAAAAGTAAAGTCAATATTCTAAAGTCAATACCACAAAGCCCAAGAACTCATGTAAATCTACCTGGTGACAATGAACCTGCAATTGAACTGAACTTGAAGACGATGCTTTTCTTGGCTATGAACTCGAACGACACTTTGACCATTGATGCTTGCAAGCCAGAGCTGAAGAAAATGCTGCTGCCAAAGTTTTGGGCTGCATGTGCTTGAGACATGTTTCAAACAGGGAGATTTGTAAAGACTCGTGTTTTTCACACCTACACTGCACTCAGTGAATTTTACTTGAGGCTGCATCCAGTGAACTTTACTTGGGGCTGCATCCAGTGAACTTTACTTGAGACTGCTTCCTTTCTGAACTACTTGCGGCTGCATCCTGTTTCTTGGGACTGCACCCAGTGAACTTTACTCGGGACTGTTTCCTTTCTGAGCTTTACTTGAGACTGCATCCAGTGAACTTTACTTGAGTTTACTTGAGACTGCATCCAGCGAAGTTTACTTCAGGCAGCATCCAGTGAACTTGACTTGAGACTGCATCCATTGAACTTTACCTGGGTCTGCATCCAGTGAACTTTACTTCAGGCTGCATCCAGTGAACTTTACTTGAGGCTGCATCCAGTGAACTTCACTTGGGACTGCATCCAGTGAACTTTACTTGAGTTTGCTTGAGACTGCATCCAGTGAACTTTACTTGAGTTTACTTGAGACTGCATCCAGTGAGCTTTACTTCAGGCTGCATCCAGTGAACTTGACTTGAGACTGCATCCATTGAACTTTACCCGGGTCTGCATCCAGTGAACTTTACTTGGGACTGTTTCCTTTCAGAGCATTACTTGAGACTGCATCCAGTGAACTTTACTTGTATTTACTTGAGACTGCATCCAGTGAACTTTACTTCAGGCTGCATCCAGTGAACTTGACTTGAGACTGCATCCATTGAACTTTGCCTGGGTCTTCATCCAGTGAACTTTACTTGAGTATACCTGAGGCTGCATCTGCATCCAGTGAACTTTACTTCAGGCTGCATCCAGTGAACTTGACTTGAGACTGCATCCATTGAACTTTACCTGGGTCTGCATCCAGTGAACTTTACTTCAGGCTGCATCCAGTGAACTTTACTTGAGGCTGCATCCAGTGAACTTTACTTGAGACTGCATCCAGTGATCTTTACTTGAGACTGCTGGTTCCTTTCTGGGCTTTGCCTGAGACTGCATCCAGTGAACTTTACTTGACACTGCACCCAGTGAACCTTGCTTCAGGCTGCATCCAGTGAACTTTACCTGAGACTGCATCCAGTGAACTTTACTCAGGTCTGCATCCAGTGAACTTGACTTGGAACTTGCTGCGTACATTTTTCAAGATATTTTTTGACAAATATTTTCTTTTTTAAACAGAATTCATGAAAAAAAATGACGCAATTTTGATGCACTTTTAAAAAGTGCATCAAAAGTGCATCAAAAGGCAGCAAAAGTGCATCAAAAGTGCATCGAATTTAAAAGTGCATCAAAAGTGCATCAAAAATGCATCAAAAGTGCATCAAAAATGCATCAAAAGTGAATCAAAAGTGCATCAAAAGTGCATCAAAATAGATCAAAAGTGCATCAAAAGTGCATCAAAAGTGCATCGAGAAGGCATCAAAAGTGCATCAAAAGTGCATCAAAAGTGCATCAAATTTAAAAGTGCATCAAAAGTGCATCAAGAATGCATCAAATATGCATCAAAAATGCATCAAAAGTGCATCAAAAATGATCAAAAGTGCATCAAAAGTGCATCAAAAATGCATCAAAAGTGCATCAAAAGTGCATCAAAAATGCATCAAAAGTGCATCAAAAGGCAGCAAAAGTGCTTAAAAAATGCAACAGTGCATCAAAAATGCATCAAAAGTGAATCAAAAGTGCATCAAATTTAAAAGTGCATCAAAAGTGCATCAAAAATGCATCAAAAGTGCATCAAAAAGTGCATCGAGAAGGCATCAGTGGTGCATGATGCTTTTAACCAGGCTTCAATCATCTGTATTAAAGTGCATCGAGAAGGCACCAGGGGTGCATGATGCTTTTGACCGGGCTTCAATCATTTTTATTAAAACCTTGCAAATCATTAAACACATGTCCAAAAAAATATCAAGATGGAATTGAAAGTGGGGCCATGGTCTCAATGAGACTTCATTGATGTATCTTTTGAAGCCAGCCAAGGGCTGACTAGAATTTCATCCAAACCTTCTCCAAAGTATGTCATACATTATCACAAATACAGTCAGCTAAGTATCACCCCATGGGCAAACGTTTATATAAGTTGATCAAGGTTTCTAACAAGCAATCCTGAACTTTTTTCTTTTGCCTGGAAAAACAAACTATGATATGGTTCTCATTGCTATGATACTTCATCAGGTTTTATTTTATAGTAATTTTCTTTAGTTTTATTCCAAAGAAAATTGAAGTCAAGATCCAATGTTTCCTTCTGTGGATTCATCTATGCTTATGTAAATTCTGTTTATGTGCATCTTGTGCAACAGGCAGCTCCAAAAGTAAATTCCTTATGCCAATCCACCCTTAGTTTTCAGGTTTGTTTTTTGGGTACCCATTAGTTAATGTACAAATATAATACATAGAGTAAATCCCAAATAGCATTTTATAAAACTTAACCATGAGAAGTAAGTTGAATTTACTTTTGTTGCTGAGCAATGTTTTGCTACCCACTGCAGTGCACCAAGAAATGATGCATTGTCTCTGAGTTCATGTCAGGATTAGATATTTTGCATAATTCCATTTTCCACCAGGGGCCTAGATCTCATGTAAATCCGACCACAAAACCACAACATCCCAAGTAAATTCTTTGTCACAAACCCGCAAAGCTCATGTAAAATCTTCCACAAACACATCTACAAATCTATCACAGCATAACCCACCTCAAGTAAATTCTCTGATGGAAACATGTCTAATCTTTCCCAACCTTACGAGTTTCAAGAAAATTCCTTGTCAGGCACTAGCCAAAAAACAACATCAAAAATGCAAACCCAAAAAAAAGGTTGGATTAGTAAATGCATTTACTAACGTTAGTAAATCAATTTACTAACGTTAGTAAATTTTACTAACGTTAATAAAAAATTACGTAAATCCACGTTAGTAAATCCCAAAATTTACGTAATTTTTTGGGCACCTAAATTTACTAGTTTTGGAGACTCAGGGTTCTGGAGGTGATTCTTCTGATGAAAACTGGGGGTCTCAGTGGACTCCGAAAGGGAAGGTTGCACCAGAGCTATGAGGATGCCGAGCTCTACTACCAGACCGTGGGAGAATGTGGAGTTTGCGGCGCCACCTCCGCCTGGAGGAAAAGATCGGTTGATTGCGGATCAGGTCTTGGATGGATGGCTGATTCGTTGTCACCGAGAGCCTCGCAAGAGATACTTCCACCCCGTGCACAAGGCTGCACCACTAGCGGCTGATAACCTGGAGGTGGATCGAGTGACGATTGGCTTTGTGACCGAGCCCAAGGAGAAGTTCATCTACCAGGACCGCTGGACTGATCCTGTGAGGGATCATGGAAGAGGCCAGTGGACAGGATGGACCTTTTTCAAGGTGAAGAAGCGTGATGGGCTCAGTGCTGGGAGCGACCTTGGAGCACCACATGATCGTGGAGCGCTTCAACCTGGAGGTCCTGAACTACCTGGTGCTGAAGGAGCTCATCGAGTTTTGCTTTCCGAAATGCAAGGTTCGGAAACCCTTGGAAGCATTGGTGTGCCAAGCGCTGTAGTGGCGAAGTCCTATGCTCCGCTACCAACTTCGAGGGCACCAAGGGCTAAGTCAAGGTGGCAGACTTCAGCTGTGGAAAGGGCTCAGCCGATCCTTTCTGATCTCCGACGACGAGATGGTGGACTATCTCCTGAAGAAGAGGAACTGAGCGAGCACAGCTGGAATGAAATCATAGAGGATGTCTAAGCGGTTTTGCGTTTTTTTTGGTTCAGGAGCTGCTGCGCTAGAGTTTTTTTTGTTTCCTGGTTAGGTACCTCAAAATGAGGTAGGGGGAGTGTGGATGTGTGAACGTGAAACACTCCAGCTTCATTGTACCTAGCAGTGATGTGTAGAAGGGTGAGCTTGGTTTTTAGAAGCATGGCCCCTGCACTAAGGATGACATAGACATGGCTGAAAGCTTCGCTACTCGATGCTTGTGGCTCAAGATCGTGGCTCAAGTTATGGCGCGAGAAAAGAGCTGCTGCAGATTTTCGGGTGCTGCAGTTAGTTGCCAACTCATAACCCCAAAGATTTAAACATTTCACCAGATCTCAATCCCAGGAGGGTTTCGCAAGATTTCAAACCATTTCCCTGCAGAAACGGTCCAACGCTAAGGCCGAAGGCCCCCCTGCCCAATTACCTCACAGCGGATTTGGCCCGGGACATCCCCGGGGCTGCTGGGGCCCAAGATCATCATTGCTATCAATGTTGTCATGGGAAATACATTGGGGGCCAAAGAGGTAGAGGAATTCGTGGATGAAGAAAAATTTGACTTCCCTGAGCATTTGATTTGTACTCTGCAGGTGGTCATGAATTGACCTACTACAAATTGTTTGCCAGTGTCATTAGTGTCATCTCGCACGTCTTATTTGGTCGTCCTGGTTTTCAGACAAGAGAGGAACACCAGATGTTTGCATGAAGGCGATGAACAACCAGAGATTTGGGCACAACCTCTGACCATCTCTGACCACTTGTCCCGAAGAAGTGTCTGAAAGCATCATGTACACTTGGTATGGCATGATTCAAATGATTGGAAGATGTTGCAAGCAATGCAACATGCTCATACATGGTTCTATTGCACGAACTGTGCAACTGTTCTCACACACGATTCGCTCAAAAGGTCACAGCACAGGCAGCTCATTCACGTTCTGCACCGGCCGTAGCATTACTGATTCGCCATGCAGCACCTTGGCTTCTGGATCGATGTGCGCTGCCATGTCGGGGGCTGAGAGATTTTGGGATCATGTCCATGAATTGTATTTATGTCTTGAGGTTGCGCTTAGTTGCTAGATTAATCAATCAGGTAGGAGACTACGCCAGTGAGACAGTTGCTGGTGACCAGGCACCCAAGTTGCTGCCAGTGAAATGGGGGATTTGGAGGACGCACTTTTGCGACTTTCAACCAGCACCTGGGAAGGCAGCAGTTAGATACCACCAACACCAACAAAGTTTGCAAAGACCTGAACCGATGGCCCAACGGCCGCTGATTTGGAGTGGCAACCTGCATGCACCATTTGTAAAGAGAACAATAATGTAGGAGTAAGGATTCACACTTGCTAGCTACACATGCCTTGTGTAGCTGATGCGTAGGCGAGGATGGATAATCTCAGTCATTGGTATTCACATTGATTTTAGTTGCAGAATGTGGCAGATGTTGTCACATTGCAATTCTTTGCTTTGATCCCACGGCCAGACTTAAGCTTGAGTCAGTCAAGATGATGTGTGGGGCTGATATAAGGCCAATCGAATGGGTGGAGATTTGGTCATGTTCGCATATGACAAGGCCCGCCGGGAGCATTGGTTTTGCAATGTTTTGTATAGTTTTGTGCTGATCTTTCAAATCTCACATTCTCACCATGGTCTCAGACATTGGTTTTTGAATTTTACTTTCCTGCAAGATACTGCAAGCATGGTCTAAAATAATCCAGGAAGAGAATCGTTGCAGGATCCTCGAGACTTCCCACAGCTTGCACTTGCACCTCGCTTCTACGTCGTCTTCGACAGCCTTTTTGATTTGAGCTCATATGATCCCTGTCTCGTGTCCCTCATGTGTTGTCACTTGGGCTGCACAGCTAGCGCTACACACAGAGTTCGAACCCATTCCTGCAGGTCTTTCACTGATCTTGCTGTCACATGCTACAAAACTGGGAGTGGTTTTTAGCCATATTTTATCAGGGACAGCACTTGCTCCCTGGTTTAACAACTATCATACGCGTTGGTTTTTCACAATCCAAGGCAGGCGTGAAGTCTCTTGGCTTCGTTTGCCAAACAAACACTTCAAAGAGTCTCTGTGTGCTTTGCCAAGCGCTCAGTAGGGTCCAAGGAAGATTCACAGTTGTTTCCTGCCAAAGGGTCAGCACTTCGAAGTACCATACCCTCGGGAACAAAGCCTTGCGGGGAAGGATTTTTCCCACTTGGACACTCTTCTTTCTTGCTGAAAATCGGGAGAATACTTTCAAGGCGGGGAAGAGCTCTCTGACTCGGCAAGAGTTAGACCAACACTCACTGGAAGAAATCCTTTTCAGAGAATTGATTGCTTCACTCAGTGTGGTTTCGGTTCGGTTCGGTTCGGTTTCGGTTTCTAGTATTTGCTATAGGCCCGGTTCGGTTCATGTTCGGTTTCGGTTCCTGCGGTTTCTGGTCGATTTCGGTTCGGTTCGGTTCGGTGTTTGGAACATTCTGCATTGATATTTGTTTTTTTCCGGCGTCGGAAAGGCAAATACAGATTGCTTCCCGCAACTGGTTTCATGAGCAGCGGCTTTCAAAGAGCGGAGAGAGCTGAACTCGGCAAACCAAAGCTTCCTGATATTGTCAATGCATGTAATTTATTCTCCTGGAATTTGCTTTTTTCATTGAACTCAAAAAGCAATTACAACTTGTCCAATCAGTTTACTTGGAGAGCCCCAGGAACTTATCGACTTATAAGCTAACTTATAACTACCTAAATTAACTTATAACTTGAGTTAACATAGACCCGGGCAAGCCGGCGGCGGAAGTTTCCCAAACATAAATGACCTCTATAGTTCGAAGACAACCTGTCCCGACCGTGTCCTTCCCTCGACACTCCACACCTCACACTGCACACTGCACACTGCACTCTTCGCACTCCAAACTTCAAACTTCACACTCCACAATTCACACTTCACACTCCACACTTCACACTTCTCACTGCTTCCTTCACACTCCAAACCTCACACTTCACACTTCACACTTCACACTTCACACTGCGCTCTTCGCACTCCAAACTGAAACTTCACACTCCACACTTCACACTCCACACTTCACACTTCAGACTTCACACTTCTCACTGCTTCCTTCACACTCCAAACCTCACACTTCACACTTCACACTGCGCTCTTCGCACTCCAAACTTAAACTTCACACTCCACACTTCACACTTCACACTCCACACTTCACACTTCTCACTGCTTCCTTCACACTTCAAACCTCAAACATGCACAATTCGCACACAGCCTGGCAGAGCTGAAACTACACATGCACTGCCTCAGGCTATACAAGACGAGCTTTCAAAACCGGATCTCGATGCCAAAACCCAAAAATTGCATTTGCCAAGCTTTGGAGTTTGCAAGCAGGCAAAATCCGAAAAAAAATGCAAGCAGGCGATCTGCAGAGACTGAGTTGCAAAACACAATAGAACTACGCACAACGGCGTCGGAAATTGTAGCTCCAAAACCGAGTCGAGCTGCAAAAGACAATAGTATTACGAATGCAGCCACAGCACGAAGAAACCTTGACACAGCCATTACAATGCAATCTGCAGAGACTGAGTTGCAAAACACAATAGAACTACGCACAACGGCGTCGGAAATTGTAGCTCCAAAACCGGATTCTCGACGCCAGAGCGAAAAAAAGACGATTTTGCAGCACTTTTTAAAAGGATTTTTAGAAGGAAAATCACTAGCGCCAAAATGGAGAAAATCTGCTGACAAATCACTGTGGCAGCCTTCATGCAGCCACTCCAATACGATTTACGAGATCGAGCTGCAAAAGACAATAGTAAAATAGTATTACCAATGCAGCCACAGCACGAAGCAGCCTCATTACAGCCATTACAATGCGATCTGCAGAGACTGAGTTGCAAAACACAACAGAACTACGCACAACGACGTCGGAAATTGTAGCTCCAAAACCGGATCTCGACGCCAGAGCGAAAAAAAGACGATTTTGAAGCACTTTTTAAAATGATTTTTAGAAGGAAAATCACTAGCGCCAAAATGGAGAAAATCTGCTGACAAATCACTGTGTCAGCCTTCATGCAGCCACTCCAATACGATTTACGAGATCCAGCTGCAAAAGACAATCGTATTACCAATGCAGCCACAGCACGAAGAAACCTTGACGGAGCCATTACAATGCGATCTGCAGAGACTGAGTTGCAAAACACAATAGAAGTACGCGCAACGGCGTCGGAAATTGTAGCTCCAAAACCGGATCTCGACGCCAGAGCGAAAAAAAGACGATTTTGAAGCACTTTCTAAAAGGATTTTTAGAAGGAAATTCACTAGCGCCAAAATGAAAAAAATCTGCTGACAAATCAATGTGGCAGCCTTCATGCAGCCACTCCAATACGATTTACGAAGTCCAGCTGCAAAAGACAATAGTATTACCAATGCAGCCACACACTGCGGGAACGATCCTACAGTTGCAAAGCGCAATGGAATTCCATCGGCAACTCATCCACCAGCAACACTTGCAATCCCATTTACAGTGAGGGAACGATCCTGGAGTTGCAAATCACAATGGAATTCCATCGGCAACTCATCCACCAGCACCACTTGCAATCCCATTTACATTGCGGGAACGACCCTGCAGTTACAAATCACAATGGAATTCTGTCGACCGCACATGCACGGTGAAACCTCATTTACAATGCGGAACCGATCCGACCATGATCCGAGCATGATCCGAACATGATCCGACCATGATCCGACCACACACGAGACCGTCTCGCAACCGTCGCACCGCAAAGGTAGATCATCGAGGTTCGGGGACAGACTTTGTATGGAAAAACATAGGGTTTCGTGCATCTGCTATCTCTCAAAAACGCATTTCGTGCGAGACTTCCTCCAAAACTCCATCGGCAACTCATCCACCAGCACCACTTGCAATGCCATTTGCATTGCGGGAACGATCCTACAGTTGCAAATCACAATGGAATTCCATCGGCAGGAACGACCCTACAGTTACAAATCACAATGAGATTCTGTCGACCGCACATGCACGAAACACAGGTGAAACCCCATTTACAATGCGGAACCGATCCGACCATGATCCGAGCATGATCCGAACATGATCCGACCATGATCCGACCACACACGAGACCGTCTCGCAACCGTCGCACCGCAGAGGTAGATCATCGAGGTTCGGGGACAGACTTTGTATGGAAAAACATAGGGTTTCGTGCATCTGCTATCTCTCAAAAACGCATTTCGTGCGAGACTTCCTTCAAAACTCCATCGGCAACTCCTCCACCAGCACCACTTGCAATGCCATTCTAACTCTTTCTTTGACTAACTCTTTCCCTGACATCTAAAAGTTACAATTAACTCTGTCCCTAACTAACTCTTTCCCTCACTAACTCTTTCTTTGACTAACTCTTTCCTGATCTTTCCCTGATGAACTCTGTCCCTAACTAACTCTTTCCCTGACTAACTCTTTCTTTGACTAACTCTTTCCCTGATGAACTCTTTCCCTAACTAACTCTTTCCCTCACTAACTCTTTCTTTGACTAACTCTTTCCCTGATGAACTCTTTCCCTAACTAACTCTTTCCCTCACTAACTCTTTCTTTGACTAACTCTTTCCCTGATGAACTCTTTCCCTAACTAACTACTAACTCTTTCTTTGACTAACTCTTTCCCTGATCTCTTTCCCTGACTGAACTCTTCCCTAACTAACTCTTTCCCTCACTAACTCTTTCTTTGACTAACTCTTTCCCTGATGAACTCTTTCCCTAACTAACCTTTCCCTGACTAACTCTTTCTTTGACTAACTCTTTCCCTGACCTTTCCCTAACTCTTTCCCTCAACTAAGACCCTGACTAACTCTTTCCCTGAAAGAAACTAAGTTTCTCCCGGAAGTCCGTAACACGGAAGTTTCTCCCCCTAAACTTCCTTTGATAATCTCCTAAATGGTTAACTTCGATCATAAGTTCAACTCTGACTTAACCTCTAACTTAGTGATTTATAAGTTACTTAGGTTCTTATGTTGGTAAGGGATGAAATGAAGTTATGTAGAACTTAGGTAAGTTATACTTTTACAAGTTTTTGAAGGTTGAGTGGAATGAGAAAGGAAATGGATGGAAATGGTAGTCAATAGCAAGAAAATAAGATCAACGATGTGCAGTGTTTGCTTGTGTGAGTTTTACCAGAGGCGAGTTGGATCGAAACAGCTAGGAAGCATGTGCAGGCCATCGTCATAGATCTCACGCAGCCTGTTTTGGAGGTAGACTAGGTGTCCACGAACGGTCCGCGAGTAAAAAAGATGCTAGCTGGGAAGTCCGCGGGTCTGTGTCCGCGGAAGCATAGGTTAAATTGCATATTTGACTGAAGTGTTATGGGAGCATGATTGTAGGTTGTCCGCGTGTCCACGGGTGGTCACAGCAAATTTTCAGTGTCCGCGGCACATGATTGAAGTTCTACGAAACCAATCATCTCGTGAGTTTTGCTATCAACCTGAAATATGGTCTTTTTTGGTCCGCAATGTTTGGCTCGGTCGCTTCATATATATATATATAGGCTGGTGTCCTGACGTAGCAAACTCTGGATCATGTCGTGGAAAAAACGCGCGTAATCGTGGCAAAGGCGTCAAACCAGGTTAAAAAAAAATGATATAAACAACTTAGCTAACTTAGGTTGCACTTAGATGGAACTTAACATACCCCTAAGATAAGTTCACCGTAAGTTAACTTATAAGTTCACAAGTTCCCGGGCTCTCCAAGTATTGGGAGAGGGTAAGACGGTTCCGGTTCCTCCGGTTCGGTTTTGCACACGGTTCCAGCGGTTCACGGTTCCTACGGTTCATAGGCTATTTGATTTTCTACGGTTTGGTTCCACGGTTCCGGTTCGAATCCAGAACCTTACTACATTCTGCTTCATGTGATTGATGTGGCTACGGCCCTACAAGATGCAATTTGCATATCAGTTGAGGTTGCGCCATGCATCCACTTTGCGGAACACTACCCTTCGAGAACAACGGATCAGTGTTATGGCCAGAATCTACGGGAAGGGAACGTTCCAGAACTTTTGTGGCAGAGCTCAGGGGTGGCACAAAGTGTGGTTGATGAAAAACTGTGAAAACTATGTTCCAGACTTACACATGGCATAGTGCTAGGGATGTATGAGCAGGTATGAGCAGGTTTCTAATTATTCAATTAGGAGCCAAGAGAATCCTAAACTTTAGAGTTGTGTGGCAAGACAGCCGTCGATTTGATCCGGTACCTTTGAGTCAGTTGCAAAGATGCAGCAGCTGTGAGCCTGAGGTCAAAAAGAAACCGAGCTTGCCAACCGTGAGGCTCATGAGTTCAGTAAACAGCATACTCTGGGTCCCATTTTGTGCTCCCTTAGGAACTCAAATCCATTTCTAAAATCAAACAAGGAACCTGCAAATTGCAATGCGAAGCTTCTTTGTTTGCCCAGCTCCTTCTCCACTTGGACTTGGCTTCACTTTGTCGCTGCTTCCCACCGTGTTTTTGATTTTTGTGATGGCAATTTGGCCACACAGAGCTCCACCATCTCCATCGTTGTACGGAACGGAATTGCGACTTTGACTGGCCATTCCTTGCCCCTAATTTGTGGTGCCTCGATGCCATGACGTCAATTTGGCACCAAGCATCCATGAAATCCACGAGGAGCTTGTGAGACAACGGGAGATTGCGATCAGCCACGCGGAGGAAGGGTATTGAGATGAATTAAGTCCTCGTCCGTCTTGTTTCATGAGTCAATTTTGCTTTGGATGTTTCATCGGGCAGACCGGGACTCCTGACCACCTCTGAGCCTCCAGTTAGTGACCTGTGCACCTGTCGCACAATGTCAAAAGACAGGTTGTTGATGCGGGTGCGATTCTGCCTTGTAAAGGGCTCATCAATTCTTATGCAACATCTCACTACGTGGGGGAAACTGATGAACACTTTCTTGATTTGGAGCAGGGACCCTGAACATGCAGAGTGTTCATTTCATTATATTTCCATTAAGTGTGTTTTCCTTTTCTTCTTGTTGCTGGTCTTTCACGCAAAATGACCTTTGCTGAGTTCCAGACAAAGCTTGTAGATTGAACCGAACTTTTCACCAACTTTTAGCATGAAGTGAATCAATTATTAATTATGTGAGTAATTCTTTAACTCAGCTGACAGGAGACTCGATGCCCATCATCAGCTGAGAGCTCCAGCGACGAAGAGCCTTTTGGGCAGATCTGGCTTGTGACGGCATAGAAGTTAGCAGCTAGCACAATAGATTGTAAACCAAGTAAAACCGGTAATGGTAAACCAAAACTGTTTTTGAGACATTGAACACTACCGACCAGATGAACCCCCCGGGGTGATGCCAGGTCAACTGTCGTCTTTGACTGGCCTTTGTCACGCTCGGAGAAACACCTGCGGCTGGTGAATGTGTCATGTCTGTGATAGCAGCCAGGCAATGTCATTTTGTTTGCCTTTGCATATCTTTGCATCCAGTATGTTTATGTTGAATATCCTAAATAGACCCTCTCTGATATCATTGGAATCTGCGGTTGTGTTGGAGCTGTCATGGCTTTCCATGGTGTTTCATATTTTTCATCACTTTTCAATCGACATCTTTGCGCTACTTGTGTATATGGGCTGGATCAGCAAAGCCTTTGTCAGGCTTTGGACCGACAACGGATCGCTGAAGTCGCCTCGGAACGCCGCAAGCGCAGCGGCGCTGCTTCCTCACGGCGTCGTTTCTCCGCCCCAGCCACCAGCCGGGCCCGCGTGGCGGGCTAGGCGGCTAGGCACATGTTCCACTTGGACGTCTGCCGGGAAGGCATCGAATGTTTCCAAATTGTTGATCTCCAATAGCAGATAGCACCAGGTCAAAGAGTTGATGAACTGGTAGCTTTTTACTTCTGCACCTTTGCAAATGCAAAGAGTCAAGAAGCAGAGGCTTCCAATAGTTTCATATTATTAGTTTTGTGTTATTTATTAGATTTGTTCGTTTTTCTGTTGGATTCAGTTTCATCAGACCTTTGGCCTTCGCCTGATTTTTTAGCTGCTTTGCAGTGCATGCTTAATTCAGTGCACAAAATATCACAATAGGCTGGACTTGAGTCCTTTGGCCTACGTGGTCAGAGTACATTGATGCTTGCAAATGAGTTGTTTGGCACAAAATTGACGCAGCTTGTCTACTGGGTTTGCTGCTTCTGCCTGGTGTTGGGAGGAAGCGTACTTGGAGTGATGGGATGTGAAATGCATGAATTAAGTGTGATTGGTGATATTGGGGCAATTCTCTTACTCTGGAGTCGGAAGTTTACAGAAGCCGTTGAATAGGAAGCAACGATTTTTACTGTAACATACGTATTTTCCAGACAGCCAAGGTGATGGCAACAAATCCCTGCCATGTCGCAGACTGAGCATGAATTTAGATTTTAGATGCCATCAAGTCCGAAAGAGTTCATTCTTTTTAAAAAGGCAGCCGTCCCCAAAAATTCCAAAGTAAAGAATGTGCAGAATGTGAAGACTGAGACTGGGAGTTGGAGAAATATAGCAGGACTTGCTGGGTCGCTGGGTGAACACACGTTAACCAGCACGATGGGATGTTCGAACAACTGACAGATGCTGACAGTGTGGTCATGCGAGGTTCGCCACTTGAGCAGAGAGATTGTGTTTTTTCGTGCGAATCCCTGGAGACTTTCGTGTTTTTTCGTGGGACATTGTAGATGGACTGGCAGAATGTTGTTCGCAAGAGTTGGACGCTTGAACTAAGAATTCAACGATCAAAGTTCATTCACTTTGACAGTCGTGAGGCAATTATGCTAAATATCACTAGCAAAATTGGCTTGGTGACTTGTCAAGGCTGATTACTATTGCAGGTGGATCATGGTTGCTCTGTCGCTGGAGAAACAGTCTGAGAAGCATTGAAGTCATCCAAGCCTTGTGCATTGAGGCCATGACGTCTTGCGACTCTTGAGGCGGCACGAGGTGCCAAGCTGCTGGGAAGAGCTCGGGTTGAGTCGGACATGGGCCCAACGTGGCAAAGATGTGCAAATAGTTTTTAAACATGTTTTAGCATTTTTTAGCCATTAGCCTTTAATGTTTGCTGCTGATTAGTGTGAGGGCCCCCCCCTCCAAACAATTTGAGGATACTCTATAACTCGCACTTTTTTTGAACCCCCCAACATTGTTTTGATTAATCAACTTAAGTAAGGATTTCAAATTACTTTCAATTTACTTTCAAATGAGTTCAATTTACTTTTAATTGATTTCAATTTACTTTCAATTGACTTCAATTTACTTCCAATTGATTTCATTTTACTTTCAATTGATTTCAATTTATATACTTTCAATTGATTTCAATTTACTTTCAATAGATTTCAATTTACTTTTAATTGATTTCAATTTACTTTTAATTGGTTTCAATTTATTTTTAATTGATTTCAATTTACTTTTAATTGATTTCATTTTTTCAATTGATTTCAATTTACTTTTAATTTACTTTCAATTGATTTCAATTTACTTTCAATTGATTTCAATTTACTTTTAATTGGCTTCAATTTACTTTTAATTGGTTTCAATTTACTTTTAATTTACGTTCAATTGTTTTCAATTTACTTTTAATTGAGTTCAATTTATTTTAAATTGATTTCAATTTATTTATAATTTATTTAAATTTACTCTTAATTTACTTTCAATTGATTTCAATTTACTTTCAATTGATTTCAATTTGCTTTCAATTAATTTCATTTTACTTTCAATTGATTTCAATTTACTTTCAATTTACTTTCAATTGATTTTAATTTAATTTCAATTTACGTTCAATTTAATTGCTTTCAATGGTTTTGTTTGTTTTCACTCCCAAAAGTTGGTGCTCACAATAGAGTACCATCCAAACAATTATATTATTCAGTAACTAAGCCACTCATGAGGTACCCCCTTGAAAAATTGTCTGGGTGCTGTTTTTTGATAAGGGTTTAATAAGGCATCTAATTATTTGGGAAACCTTGCGTTTTAAAGCTTTAACACAAATATGGCTTTCTAAAGTAAAGGGACCCGCTTTACCCAAAAAAAGGCGGAGAAAGGGTTTTGTTGTTTTTTTCCACTCCCAAAAGTTGGTGCTCACAATAGAGTACCATCCAAACAATTATATTATTGAGTAACTGTGCCAATCATGAGGTATCCCCTTGAAAAATTGTCTGGGTGCTGTTTTTAAATAAGGGTTTAATACGGCATCTAATTATTTGGGAAACCTTGCGTTTTAAAGCTTTAACACAAATATGGCTGTCTAAAGTAAAGGCACCAGATTTACCAAAAGAAAGGTGGAGAAAGGGTTTTGTTGTTTTTTTCCACTCCCAAAAGTTGGTGCTCACAATAGAGTACCATCCAAACAATTATATTATTGAGTAACTGTGCCAATCATGAGGTATCCCCTTGAAAAATTGTCTGGGTGCTGTTTTTAAATAAGGGTTTAATACGGCATCTAATTATTTGGGAAACCTTGCGTTTTAAACCTTTAACACAAATATGGCTTTCTAAAGTAAACGGACCAGCTTTACCCAAAGAAAGGTGGAAAAAGGGTTTTGCTTTTTTTTCCACTCCCAAAAGTTGGTGCTCACAATGGAGCGCCATCCAGACAATTATATTATTGATTAACTGAGCCAATCATGTTTTTTTCAGGCATCTAATTATTTGGAAAACCTTGCATTTTAAAGCTTTTACACAAATATGGCTTTCTGAAGTAAATGGACCCGCTTTACCCAAAAAAAGGTGGAGAAAGGGTTTTGTTTGTTTTTCACTCCCAAAAGTTGGTGCTCACAATAGAGTACCATCCAAACAATTATATTATTGAGTCACTGAGCCAATCATGAGGTATCGCCTTGAAAGATTGTCTGGGTGCTGTTTTTAAATAAGGGTTCAATACAGCATCTAATTATTTGGGAAACTTTGCATTTTAAAGCTTTAACACAAATATGGCTTTCTAAAGTAAAGGGACCCGCTTTACCCAAAAAAAGGTGGAGAAAGGGTTTTGTTGTTTTTTTCCACTCCCAAAAGTTGGTGCTCACAATAGAGTACCATCCAAACAATTTTATTATTGAGTAACTGAGCCAATCATGAGGTATCCCCTTGAAAGATTGTCTGGGTGCTGTTTTTTTTTAAATAAGGGTCTAATAAGGCATGTAATTATTTGGGAAACCTTGCATTTTAAGGCTTTAACACAAATATGGCTTTCTAAGTAAAGGGACTAGCTTAACCCAAAGAAAGGTGGAGAAAGGGTTTTGTATTTTTTTTCACTCCAAAAAGTTGGTGCTCACAATAGAGTACCATCCAGACAATTATATTATTGAGTAACTGAGCCACTCATGAGGTACCCCCTTGAAAAATTGTCTGGGTGTTTTTTTTTAATCAGGGTTTACTAAGGCATCTACAGTAATTGTATGGAAAACCTTGCATTTTAAAGCTTTAACACAAATATGATCAAATATGGCTTCCAAAAGTAAAGGGTCCAGCTTTACCCAAAGAAAGGTGGAGAAAGGATTTGTTTTTTTTTTCACTCCCAAAAGTTGGTGCTGACAATAGAGTACCATCCAAACAATTATATTATTGAGTCACTGAGCCAATCATGAGGTATCCCCTTGAAAGATTGTCTGGGTGCTGTTTTTTAATAAGGGTCTAATAAGGCATGTAATTATTTGGGAAACCTTGCATTTTAAGGCTTTAACACAAAAAAGGCTTTCTAAAGTAAAGGGGCTAGCTTAACCCAAAGAAAGGTGGAGAAAGGGTTTTGTTTTTTTTCTTTTTAAAAAAGTTGGTGCTCACAATAGAGTACCATCCAGACAATTTTGTTATTGAGTAACTGAGCCACTCATGAGGTACCCCCTTGAAAAATTGTCTGGATGCTGTTTTTTGATAAGGGTTTAATAAGGCATCTAATTATTTGGGAAACCTTGCATTTTCAAGCTTTAACACAAATATGGCTTTCTAAAGTAAAAAGACCAGCTTTACCCAAAGAAAGGTAGAGAAAGGGTTTCGTTTTTTTTCATTCCCAAAAGTTGGTGCTCACAATCGAGTGCCATCCAGACAATTATATTATTGAGTAACTGAGCCAATCATGTTTTTTCAGGCATCTAATTATTTGGAAAACCTTGCATTTTAAAGCTTTTACACAGATATGGCTTTCTGAAGTAAAGGCACCAGCTTTACCCAAAGAAAGGTGGAGAAAGGGTTTTGTTTGTTTTTCACTCCCAAAAGTTGGTGCTCACAATAGAGTACAATCCAAACAATTTTATTGAGTAACTGAGCCATTCATGTTTTTTTTCAGGCATCTAATTATTTGGAAAACCTTGCATTTTAAAGCTTTAACACAAATATGGCTTTCAAAAGTAAAAAGACCAGCTTTACCCAAAGAAAGGTGGAGAAAGGGTTTTGTTTTTTTCACTCCCAAAAGTTGGTGCTCACAATAGAGTACCATCCAAACAATTTTATTATTGAGTAGCTGAGCCACTCATAGTATCATTAATCAATGAAAAAGGAAGCGATGAAAAAAATAAACAATCGTAAATAAAAATAAAATAATAAATAAAACATAAGCAGTAAAGCATTTGGAAAAAATAAAAAGTTGAAAAAAGTCTGGAAAAAATCTCACAATAGAGGCCCCCCCCCACAAACAGCATGTTACTGAATTAGGAGCAAGACATTTCTCACAATAGGGTACCATGTCACTAATCGGGTGCAAACATTATTCATTATTAATTATTGGTCGATAAAAATCGATAATGTGGTACGCGGATTAGTGCATAGATGCACTATTGTTGTATGTTTTCAAAAGGCTTCTGTTGAGGGTTTACAAGGAATCCATTTAAACATGCATCAATTGTTTCCGCAATTGTTTTCACAATTGTTCAAAAGTTTCAACAATTGTTTGTTACACTGTTTTATTTGTTCTGGAATTGTTTCAAAAGTTTGAACAATTTATAAAATAGTAGTTCTCCAAAAACATAGACAAATGTTTTTAATTTCAAACAATTGTTTGAATAATTGTAACAATTTTCGACAAAAAATGCAGACATTGAAACAAACAGATTCAACATGTGCAACCATTTGAACGCGCTCATGTTTTGCGCTATTGTGGCCACAACAGGCTACCCAAACATGGATCAGTTTATCTACAAAGCGTTGGCAATATGTTTGTATCCAGCGATTTGATGTCCTAATCCTCTGATTCTTAAAGAGCAGATGAACAAACAGAGCTGGACATGATGTGTTGCACACAGAGCCGTGTATTTCCTCACCGGGAAGTGGGTGTTTGATGTTTGGACGCACAAGTGCTCCCACATGCGCATTCTTCTCCGACAATTTAGGCTCGAGTTGCCTTTTGCTAAGTTGAACTGCAAAACAAATTATAGTTGGAGTTTGGATGTTGTTGTTTTTTTGGGCAGGGCATCGGGTGATCAATGCTGATTTTACAAGATTTGGCTGGGATAGCCATGGACCAGCAACCAGTCCAAAATGCGCCTGGACCTGGCCGTGGGCGGTGGCTGCCTTGGGCGTGGTGGCCGCCTTGGGCGTGGTGTTGGTGGCCGCCTGGGGCGGGGTGTTGGGCGTGGCCGTGGCCGTGCCCTTGCGGGCTTCAGGGCAGGGGCTCGCCGTATGAACGCCCGAAGAAGCAGGCAAAACTTTATAAAAAAAATCGAAGGACCACAGGGCTGAATCTTTTAAGTGGCAGGCAATGGCATCCAATGCTTCTGGCCGCCACAGAACCGTGGACCACATGCTGCCCTTGCAGCCGCTGGACCAAAAGGCCGGGGGGCTTGGAAGCAGTGGACGCCTGAGGCGCTGTTGAGGTCTGCCTTTGGCGAGGCCACTGCCACCCTGAGGCAATCAGCCAGGGAAGTCGATGGGGCAAGCGCAGCCCATGTGATCAAAGCCCTTGATTGCCAGGGTTCCCATGTCCAGTCAGAAAGAAACCGGCTTGGCCAAAGGGGCATGCTGTACCACATTCTGAACATTATGTTTGACGAAACGGAATTAGAAGTTGCCCTGACTGAAGCTGGTGCAGCCAGCTGGTCAATATTGGCCAGCCACAGCCAACTGAGCATCCATGCTACCGGCCACGATTTGGAAGTTGACATAGCAAGGCCCCCCAGGGCCTTGCCGCGAAAAACGGCTTCGTGCATGTTGGGGGCCTGCCTAGACGACGGCGGCCTCAGGCCTGTTTTCATCGGTTCAGACGCGAAGTTTTCAGCTGTTCTGGTATCGTGCGATCAGCAGCTGAAGCACTTGCACTCAGTGGTGTCGCAGAACGTCTTTGTTTTTCCAAGCCTGTGTGCTCAGCACAGAAACGGAAATGTTATTGAGCGGGGAACAAAACATCTCGGTATATTACCTGGTTCATTTTGCGTGGCCAGAGCACGGGCAGGGGAAAATTCTTGAATGATTTGAAAGAAGCAGTCAGGAAAGTCCTGGCTGAAAAGCTTGTGATCATAGATTCAGAGCCTCCTGGACTGCAAGCGGAATGGGCAGTGGCCCGCCGGCAGGCAAAACATTTTTTGCACATGATTCTGCAATGTGAAGATGAAACACCACATGCAAAGCGGTCTCGGACCAGGTTCATCGACGACTTCGTGGCTTTCTTCCCCGGCCCATGGACAGGACTGGGTTGGGTTTCGGTTGGGTTGGGGTAGGGGGTGCTGCTTTAGGCTTACCTAGTAGTAACTGAAAATAAGCAGGCATCCTCAGGCAGGTTTTATTATCATTTGTTCAATCCCCAGCATTCCAACTTCTGGCCCTGATGAGTTATATATATAGTTACATAGCATTTAATTATATATTATTTATATTTGTGTACATCATTTGGCTTTATTTCACTTTTTTCACATGGACCAAGTGTGAGCTTGAAGTGAAGCTTGTGGCCTTATTGTGCTGCAAGCAGGGTGTTGCGAGTGCTGCTTTTTTTGGCCCAAACTTTTCTCGCCAACAGCCTCTTCAGTACCGGCCGCGCTCCTGACACAGCCATGGTCCTGTCCAAGCACTTGCAAGCTAGCAGGTCGTTGGCAAATCTGAAGGCTGGAAAGCTTGGCAGGGCCTACTTGCCAAACGATGCCCGGGCCAAGGTGTTTCACGGCCTTGGGCCTGGTTCCAGATATACAAGAGAGCCGGTTGTGTTGAGTTCTTTCCCTATACTTCCTACCTAATAATTCTCCCGTTCTCCCCCTATTCTGTGTTCTTTCATGCCCGCCTGCAGCTCCAGGAGCATCAGTCCACATCTGCGCTAGGAACGGCTGCTGCGCAGATAGAGAAGCCAGCATTGAAAAGAGCATGGAATGGCTCAATTCCAAGCTGCTCAGCGCTATCTGCGTCCCAGCGCTGAACAAATGGACAAAGGTAGCCCCGTGTGTCAGGCATGTTGCCGTGTTACATTTTTTTTGCGGCTTGGTGCCTGAAGCTTCCAAATACATTGTCCCTCTTCCTGAAGAAGATTCTGGGCCAGAAGACGAAGGTCAAGCTGTGGGCGCTCCACTTGACCAAAGCAAAGCTTGGAGGAAATTGGCCAGGCTCAGAGTAATACCTTAGTAAGGAAGGCTTGGTTTTTTTGTCCGATAATCAAAGCGCTTGGATGACTTCACTGTGGTGCGTGCTCACAAAGCCAATAATGAGGGTCCACTTTGCGCTCTTTAAGCGCGCTACATGGCTCTCTGAGCGGGTTCCAGACGACGAGGTGCAAGAGGATGCCGGTTTGGAGGAGCCTGTGGATGAAGGGGATGAAGAATTGCGCCCTAAGTCGGCGGGTTGCTTTTGCAAGGCATCATTTTAAGCCCGGCTTTGAAGGCGTTGGAATCTATGAGCCATTTGGCCCACCAGCCTGAAAGCTTCTGCTGGGATGCAGCTGTGCTGGCCTTTGGCCCTGTTCTGTCTTGGAGCCAGGAACGCCTTAGAATCACACGTCGTACGTTGTGCCTGATCATTGTCATAGGCCAGTGTTGGAGGAAATTAATTCACCCCTTTCAACGGTATCCTTGGGCCCTTGCCCCTCCTCTGATCGACGCAGACGCAACTGATGAGGACAAGCTCGCCTGTGCGCGAACACTTTTCAGCTGCAAAGACTGCCAGCTTGATGCCTTTGCCAGGCAACTCCGCGACACAGTTCCAGAGCACGAGATTTTAGAGCCAGACGCGCTCAAGTTTTTGGAGGCTGTGCTGCGGCGCGTAGTGCCAACAAGCACCTTCATCGAAAGGACTTTCGCAAGGCTTTCTGAATGGTCCACCGTCAAGAAAGGGCAAAAAACAAAACTGAGCAGCATTAGTGCCAAACATATTTCGGGCCGTTTCAAGCAAAGCACCGAACTGTGGCGCCGACGGGTCTTGAAGCAACCGAAAGCTGCAAAGGACAATATCAAAAGACCAGTGTGGTCCCATTCAAGAACCAAAGGCCGGGGCGCAAATGGCTGGCACATTTTCAGTAGAGAGCATATGTTGCAGAATCCAGCGGGAAACTTGCAAGACCGTCAGAAGGCTGCTCAGGATGCTTGGGCTAGAACTACTGAGGAGGAGAAAAAGCGGTATTCGCGCTTGGCGCAGGCTCGAAATGTTGCATCTTGTTTGGCAGCAAACCAAGCAGCTGTAGAGAGGGAGGCAGGTGCATTGCTTCCTGCTGGCAGCCTGTTGAATGTTGGCACGCCTGATGGCTTTCCATTGGCTCGGCATGTTGCTGCTAGCAAGCAGCAGGAAGTCAGCACCATGTCCAAAGTGTTTGTATAGATATTTACAATAACTTGGAACTTGAAAATGCAGATGCTTTTCATGATGCCCCTCGTGAGCCATATCCTTTGATGCCCATTTGTCCTTTATAAAAACGGATGTATGCATTGCCTGCCAGACGCCGGCTCAGCCGTGGTGCAGTCTTTCATTGTCAGGCACCATGCTCCAAAGCCCGATGCAGTAGCAAAGGAAGTGCTCCTACTGTCTTTGCTCTCTGAGAGCGCAGATGTTTCCAAAGATGTCGCAGTTATGTTTCATACACGGAAGGCTCCTTGGGAGGCTGCGTTGCTTATCCTTCACCGAGTTAGCATTGGAGAGATAGCAGCGCAGGGTGTTGCATTTTCTTTGGCATTCAGGGAGTCTGCGGCTAGTGACGGCTAGTGACAAAGCTCCGGCGCTGAATTTGACAAGTGACAGGGTCCTTTTTGTGAACCTGGCAAAGCTGGCGTCTGACTGGACATTCCGCTTTTTGGAAGTTGCTGGAATAGTTTCACTGTCCCTTTTTGACATCCAGGCAGTGACAGCTTTTGAAGAGAGGTCTTTTGAGAAACAGGCAAAAGCAGCTGAAGAAACGTCGCGTGCTTTGCAGGCGTTGAATGGCCTGCTTGGGAAAACAAAAAACGCCCTGCCAATCCTGAGCCGTAGAATGCTAGCGCATCTGGCCGGAAATCACGCAAACGGCCCAAGACTGCCTTGTCCACTGAAAAGAGGCTGCTGGGAATTGATTCTGGGTCTGAACATGGATCAAACAACAGTCAAGAAAGTTCTTGCGAGAGCGAGGATGTGGACGTCACTGGTACTCCTAGGCCTGAAATGGCCGACCACTTCGACCCAGCCAGCTTTTCGCATCAATCGCCTGGAACTCTTCAGTCCAGATCAGGAAGGGAGGGCAGAACCACCTCCTTGCTCCCCTTGAGAATCCAGCCCTGCTCAGAAGAGGTCAAGAATACCACCAATGTCCGTCACAGACGAGGTGAGCAAGGGGGCGTGTTCAACCTGGGACCCATTTACAGCGAAGGTGTGCGGACAGGCTATGGTGCCATTTGTGGTTTGCATAGCAATTCTGAAGATGCTCCAGGCATCCATGGCAGGAAAGCTTTGACAATTGGCGACTTCTCTGAGGAGGATTGTAGACTGCGACTGAAGCGTTGGCTTTTAGCCGGGTTGAATGATGATGATTGGCCTGAAAACCAGGTTCGCTCAAGGCTGTCGCTAGGAGGCTTGTGCTTGATAGATTTTAGCGTAGCTGACCCAGAGATTGTCTTAGACAGACAAGTGGCTGCTGGAAAAGCAGCTGCGTTGAAGGGTCGGTGTGTCTCTGCCCAGCATGCATTTTTGGCCGTCAAGACCGTCAAGACTCAAAGCTTTGCAAAGAGATACCTGTTCAAAACTTAAAAGAATTGCTTGTTCATCAAGAATGCAATTTTCAAGAATTTGTGAAACACCATTCAACTATTTCATAGTTTTGCGCAAACAATTGTGGAAATGTTTTGTAGTGACCACCCGTATACCATTTGTAGAGGAAACGTTTCTGTTTTTATATCCACAATTGTATTTGCTCACCCGTACAAACCATTTGTAGAGAAAAACTTTTTCAATTCTATTTACAAATGTTTTTGTATATTTTCATTTTTCTCACAAATGTTTTGCCAATCTTGAAACAATATGCCGACAATCTGAAATTCTTGATTTGCGCCATGTCGTTTGAAATTCGCTGCGCTGCAGATTCCTGCTCAAAATCGCAAAGGTCGGAGATGCAAGCAATTTGTGTGCCACGGACCAGTCCAGCGAGGATGAAGCTGGAAGCCAGCAGGGCGACAGGACAAGCAAAGCTGCCACGTCAGCTGATTCCTCCAAATGGCCAATTTCGGTGAATCACAGCAAGCCATCTGAATGTTACTTGTGCATCCCTACCCCCTTAACCTAGGTTTTCGGGGGGGGACCTGACAAAATGTAACTTACATTTTTTGGGCTGTTTTTAGGGTGGTTAATTGTAAGTTAAAATCTCTAAGGTACCAAAAATTCACGTTTGGAAGGGTGAAAAATGTAAGTTAAGACCCCCCTAGGTAAAGTAAAATCAAGGTATTCCCCAGGAATACACCACACACGTAGTGACTATGGAAATGGGGGGGAGAATGTAACTTACTTTTCCCCCCCTCCTTTTTGGGGGTATACCACTATATCTGTATGATTTAATTCGACGTCGCGACGCCAAGAAACATCAAACATTAAGGACCAAAAAAGTAAGATCCCTATTGTAAGGTCTCCAAAACCTGCATTATTTGCAGTGGAACCTGGGCCTCACTATCACCAACTTGCATTTTACAAGACCAAATGCACACAGGCATTGCTAGACAGAATGTGCAAAAGAATGTGCAACCCACAAAAAAAGAACATCAAAACACATATAATGCTAGAATTCCCCGCGAATCCCAGGGGCCACAAATGTAAGATCCCGACTGTAAGGTCTCCAAAACCTGCAGTATTTGCAGTGGAACCTGCACCTCAAGATCATCAACTTACATTTTCCAATACCAGAATTCCCAGGAATCTTAAGGGCCAAAAATGTAAGATCCCTATTGTAAGGTCTTCAAAACCTGCATTATTTGCAGTGGAACCTGGACCTCGATATCACCAACTTACATTTTCCAAGGTCAAAGTGCCCAATACCACTGTCAGAAAAGCTTGAACTATAAAGAATATTTTAAAATTGCGTAGTGTTGAAAGGATTGTTTCGGGGGCCCGCTTTGTATATAAATTGGCCAGAGCACTCTGGGCAGAAGCTGCGGCTGACTTCTTGGAGCTCCGGGTAACATGTCCAACGGGGTAGTATGTTTCTTTGACATGTTATAACGGTTACCTTTGCTTCTGTTTTTGTTTTTTTTTATATCCCGTGAGGCCCCAATGTTTTGTGACGTCCCAAGAAGTAACTTACATTTTTTGAGAAATGGAGGCTTCCACAGAAATGACACCTTCAGACATATAAGTTACATTAATCCTGGCACCAACCTTGTTATAAATGTTACCTTTGCTTCTGTTTTTTTTTTAATCCCATGAGGCCCCAGGGTTTTGTGACGTCCCAAGAAGTAACTTACATTTTTGGAGAAATGGAGGCTTCCACAGAAATGACACCTTCAAACATATAAGTTACATTAATCCTGGCACCAACCTTGTTATAACTGTTACCTTTGCTTCTGCTTTTTTTATCCCCATGAGGCCCCAATGTTTTGTGACGTCCCAAGAAGTAACTTACATTTTTTGAGAAATGGAGGCTTCCACAGAAATATAACACCTTCAAAAATGTAAGTTTCATTTAGGAAGGTTTTACCTCAAAAATGTAATATTACATTTTTGAGGTCCCTCCAAATTTCAGAGGGACCTACCCTAAATGTAACTTACATTTTTGAAGGTGCTGATTGTATGGGTTTTTCACAAAATGTAAGTTACATTTTCGAAGGTTTTACCTTCAAAAATGTAAGTTACATTTTTGGGGGTGGTCCCCCCCTGCCAAAACGGTAGGGATACTTGTGCGCTTCCAAGAGCACGGACCCCAACCCTTTGGTGCAGGAGGTGGGGGAGGCAGCAGACGCTGTGCAATGGCGGCCTTGGGCCAAGTACAGAAAGCTGCCTCAGCACTGTGTGCGTGTTTCGGAGGGCAAAGTTTGCTTGCCTTGTTTCAACGTTTCTCGCTTGCTAGGGAAACACAAGAAATATAAGAACACCTTGAACTACTACCAACACATCAGCCAAAAGACGAACCAGGCAGCGCAGAATGAACACAAGGATTTCTTGGCCGCCTTGAAGCAGTGGCTGAAGCAGCACCAAGATAATCCTGACAAGTTCAAGATTAAAATCACAGATGACCCCCTGAAGACACAGATGGAGCTCGTGATATCGAAGAAGCAAGGTGGCAGGATGACAGCACCGAAGAAGCGACTCGTTTTGGAGCCACCGCCCGTCACGGAGAGTGGGGCCCAGCCAAGGAAGTGGACCACTGGATTGATGCAACATTGGTGAAGAAGAAGTGTATAACTTCGAAGCCTACGAGGACACAGGCCTTGAAGAACGAGTCATTGAAGATGACGGACAGCAAGAGATGTTTGCAGAAGAAGCTTTCCAGGCCAAGAAGCAAGCAGCTTTGGAACCCATCCAAAAGCAAGCCAAGGATCGCGAAATGTCTTTTGCGGACTTGGTCCATGTGGTCAGCTCTTTGGGCAAGTCCTCGTCCGGCTCTGCCGCAGTGCCTGTCGCAGATGGACCCACCAACAGCGAGGGCACGGGCGCAGAGAGCGGATCTGATGTGACCAGCTCTTCCAATTCAAGCTCTGAAGAAGAAGAGCAATCAACAGGCTTGGATTTGTTGCTTTCGTATTCAGCCCCCAAAGGCAGTCGTGGGGACTCTGTTGCCGAAGGCTTGCCAAAGAGGCCACAAACCACTGCCAAGGCAAAGGAGGCCTCCTGTGCCTAGACACCTGTTGCAGCTGAAGGAACCGACAAAACGGGCAAGTGCACATTCGCACAGGCCAGCTAAGGTGGCCAAGGCTTCCAACCCTACGACGGCTGGCGGGTCTGAAGCTGGGATGCTGTCTCTGGATGGCCGGGCTAGTCGCACCTTGAAGACTTTGGAAGCTGCCATCCCGCAAGCCAAGGAAAAGATCAATGAGGTTTCATTCAACGATTTGCCCCAGAGTGCCACGCAAATGAAAGCATTCCGCGCAGAGAGGCTAGAGACAGAATAGCCAAGTTGACAAGCGTCGCCAAGAAGGCCAAGGAGACAGGCAGCAGAGTGGGAAAGTCCAACAACAAGGATTCGTTTGAGAAGCAGCTGGACGAATTGCAGGAGCTCGGAAATCTGGCTGCTGGCAGCATGTGCAAAGCTACTGACAAATGACAAATGCATCTGCATCCAGTCTGGACCCAGATGCATACATCAGTGCGTACAGCGAGGCTTCAGAGGGAGGTGCAAAGCTGGGCCCCTTGTACATCCTGAAGCTTGTCGCCGCCCAAGGACAGAAACTGTTGTTGTATGGGAAATACAAAGAATATTGCGGAGCATTCCTGGCTTCGTCAGAGCCCATGCAAGCACTTTGCCAGTTCTTGGGGGAACAAGATGCTGCGAAGCATTGTGCCCTGGAAGTGGAGAACCGCATGCTTGCGTCCCTGAGGTGCTTCCTGCCAGCGAGCTGTCCCTTCTGAAGCCCGGCAAAGCACCAAGAGGCTTGGGCTCAGAAGCTCCGAGGATGATCGAGTGCTTGGATTTGGCAGGCGCCATAGAAGACGCGTGTGGGAAAGACGGCTTCATGGCGTCGGAGTTGGCAGTTGCTGACTGCACGGTGGCTTGCCTGCTTGGGCAGGAAGATGTTGCAACGCTGTGCCAGCAGGTTGAAGCTCTGCAAGACACCGCAAACAAAGATCTCGATTCAATCCCTGCTTTGCAGAGGTTTTTCTTACAGCACGACACTGGCAAAGCTTTCTTTTCCATCGCGCAGCTGCGGGTTGAGCAAGGCGACAAGGAGAGAGTTTTTCAAGAGAAGCTCGCCACTCTGAGGAAAACAGTGTCCCACTTGACTGCCTGGCCCAAGCAAAGCCCTCCAGATGCTGAGTCAGCAGTTATGGCTGTGGAGAAGCGGGTGGTGCCAGCCGTGGATGCCTTGGCTGAAGTGAAAAAGACAACCTTTTTTTCCGAGGCTTCAAAAAGCAGAAGAAACATGAGCAAACTTCCAGCAGCTTGTTCGCTGAGTTTGAGAAGCTGGAAAAGCTACTCAGCACAGGGTCTTGCGACCTTGTTCGACTTGTGTGCCGTGAGAACATGGAGAACCATGTGTTGCTTGCCTGCATGGGCTGCAGCCTGGGGGCAGGGCGCTTGGGAAACATATGTTTTTTTCTATAGGAGCCTCTTGGGGTCCGGTTTGTACTGCTGGTCAAGATAGCCAGGGACTGCTGCACAGCTCATGAAGATATATACGATTTGATCTGATTTGATTTGACTTGATATGACATGACTCGATGCATGATTCATGATACATGCTTGCTTGATCTGATTCATAGGATATATGATGATACATTGATATGATATGATGAAATTATGCTGCGATCCGAATGCAGCGTTGGAGATTGGCACTGGCCTTTTCCAGAGTTGGCTTGTTGATGTGGAGTTGTCTACGACATGCAACAAATTCAATGCATGATGTCTAACTTCTAACTGCACAGAGGACCATTGCGGACAGATGCTGCGGCATTTGGGCTTCCAGCAAGGAGGCGCAGGCTATATATTTTGTTCGTCCGCAAGGTCAATACCAAACTGCAGACGCAGGCCAGGTCTTTGACCAAGTCATTTGAGATGTTCAACAGCATGGTCGCATCTTGCCTGCGATCCCCGCCCTGTGCCAAGGAGCTGCTGCTAAATTGCTCCTCAAATGAGGTGTGGGAATTTTTGGAGGAGAGAAAGAGCCACAGAGTCGCGCAGAAAAGCCAAAAATCTTCGAGCAGCTGGACAGAACAACATATGAAGTTTGCGGAAGCTCAAGACTGCGGTGGGGCCGGCCATACCCTGAGGAGTTAAAGTTGAATCAATGGTTTGAAACGCTGACGGCCAGGGAGCAAGATGCCTTAGTGCTTTCCAGAGCGCAAGCGCCAGATGCCGGCTTCAGAAATGTGTCCCAGTCACTTGGCAGGGAGCACAGCACGAGCTTTTGCACAGAAACACTTGGCCCCCACGATTCTCCCAAGCCAGCTGCTTTTTGTGGAGCTGCTAAAGCCGCCAGGTTGATGCTGGGCCAGGAAGCTCTTCTGTTTCAAGGCTTTCCTCTGTGCTCATTCCTAGCTTTGGTGGAGAAAATGAAAAAAAGCATCGACATGCACGAACAGCCTAGCAGCTGTAGCCGAAGAAAACGTCACAGTGAGCCCAAGAAATGGCTGACCGAAGCTTTGATGACAGACCTATAGCTGGGAACGCTATGGCTTTGCCAGTGTTGCTGGCAATTGCCCAGAGTGCTGTAGCTTCGCTCCTCTTCAGGCCTGCCTCCACTGCCGCTACAGCAGAGGAGACTGCTGATGCTCTTTCGGCATTGGAAGTGCTGTCTGCTGTGGGAAGCTAGGCTGGGCTCAGCCCATGTTCTCCGCGTTGGAAACCTTCGCCGGCTTGTGACGCTCAGGGCTCAGCCCAGGTTTGCAGTCTTTGTCACTGCTTGCTGCTTGGCGCTGCCTGAGCCAGTGAGCGCTCTTTTTTTTTTAGAAGCTGTCCTCTGCGCAGAAAAAAATGGCCTGCAGCTCAAAGATCTTGAGTCATTAGTCGCCCATGCAATGTTTTCAGCAAAGGTGATGTCTGCAAGGTTTGGGGTAAATCAGGGAAGAACAGTATCCAAATCTAATTCTAAGGTCTAGGCAGTCTGTACAAGTTTCTTCTGTCCTTTTGTTTTGTCAGCGGCAGTTCCAACAGTTCTTCTTTCAGGTGGCATGTGTGGGCCGACATGACCCAAGCAACCCATGCCTTGTTCCCCCCTCTGTATAGCTGGAGCGGCTCGAGCCATATTACACGTCATAATTTCATACAATCCTCCTGTGACTTTGCCAGTGCTTCGCTAGCCATAAGGACCTTTTTGTCGTTTTTGTTAGCCATTGAGATTCTATGCGGCATTGCTTTGCCCTGGATCTGTATCAACCCAAAAGAAAATGCCGGAGCCCGAGGTCCAACAGTTGCAAAATGTAGGTCCAACAGTGGCCAGATGGAGGGTGCCTGACGTCATTTTCTTTTTGTACCTGTCCATTGTGTTTTGCTTCGGTTTTCCTATCTTACCTTATGCCCTCTCATTTTATTGGCATTTTCTCCTTAGGCCCCTGCATTTTATTATATTTTTTTAGGTGCCTCACCCCCCCCGGCAACAGACGAGGGTCTGTATCCTCGTTTGCCTGTACGAACTTTGGAGGCCACTGGACCCGCAGCAAGATCAGATCGATCCTTAGCGGCCTCTGGTCTGGGTATTGATGCAGCGGTGCCGCTTGTCCCATCACCAGGCCTTGTGGCCGTGTTTTCGTGGCAGGGCTCTGCCCGTGTTAGAAAGATTACCGTGCATGCCTCATGAACATGTGGGAAGAAAAAGCGATGCCGCCAAGCAAGGGAACTTAGCGCTCTGCGCGCGTTGCAAAAAAAAGTGAGGCCAGTGAGGCTGAACCAACTTCAACCTGAAGATGCATTCTTCTATAAAGGTTGGCGTGTGTACCACAACTCTACATAGCAGCTGAGGCGAAGGGGGGCCAGTCAGGCTTACTAGCTTAGACCATGCAAACACTGGGTGGCCAGACAGCACTCGGCCAACCTCGGAAAAAAAAGCCGCAAGAGCGCTGGGTTAGCATGCCACTGGTGTCGCAAAGTATGTTTGTTTCCTTGATGTGCAGCTAACAGGGGCCATGTGAAACCATCCAGACCCAATATTGATTGTAGAAAAATGGTAAAATTGCAAGAAGAACCCATGGTATGATGTGGTCGGTTGTATTTAGCAAAAGGTAACACGCTGATAAGTTGTTTAGCAACAAGGGCACAGTTTACAGCCAGTGTTGAAAGGCTTCCAAACAGTTGCGGCAATGATCTGTAAATATTGTTCAAGCAATGTTCAGAAACAGTTGAAACAGTGTTCAAAAATTAAACAAATGCTTCTTTAACAATTTTCAACTTTTTAAATCAAAATCAAACAATTTAAAACAAGTGTTGGAACACTTTCAATAAATTTAAACAATTGTTGAAAGAATATCGAACAATTTAAAACAATTGTTCAAACAATTGCGAACTATTTAAAACAATTGTTGAAACAATTGCGAACAATTCAAAACAATTATTGAAACAATTGCAAACAATTATAAACAATTTTATGGTATTTGAAATGACCCCGGACTACGAAGCCTTTTGAAAACATACAGCACTATTGCGTCAAGTTTTCCCAAAATAATTCTGCATCGGTGTAAATGATTGGGGGGTTCACTATTGTGGCAAGTTTTCCCAGAATAACTCTGCATCGGTGTAAATGATTGGGGGGTTCACTATTGTGTCATTTTTTGTTTTTTCAGATTTTTCCAGATTTTGTGGAGATTTTTTCATTTTTTCAGAATATTTATTTGTTCTTAAGTTTTTTTTTATCATGTTTGAATTTATTTATTTACAGTATTTATTTAATTAATTGATGAATATGTGTTTGTTGTGGTGGTCTTCTATTGTGTCCAGCTGCTGTCTGAAGAGGTACGCGCCTCGCAATTGACCCTACCCCCATTTTGGGGTAGGGTCGAATGTGAGAAAGTTGCGTTTTTAGCTGCGAAAAAAAGGTCCCGGAGATGATGATGATCATAATGATGATGATGATGGTGATGATGGTGATGATGATGGTGATGATGGTGATGATGATGTCACAAGGGGGGCTGGTTGATTTGATACCAATGAATGTAATTGTTCAAGGGGGGCTGGTTGATTTGATACCAATGAATATAATTGTGCAAGGGGGGCTGGTTGATTTGATACCAATGAATGTAATTGTTCAAGGGGGGCTGGTTGATTTGATAGCAATGAATATAATTGTTCAAGGGGGGCTGGTTGATTTGATACCAATGAACGTACGTGTTCAAGGGGGGCTGGTTGATTTGATATCAATGAATGTACTTGTTCAAAGGGGGGCTGGTTGATTTGATACCAATGAATGTAATTGTTCAAGGGTGGCTGGTTGATTTGATACCAATGAATGTAATTGTTCAAGGGGGGCTGGTTGATTTGATACCAATGGTTGATTTGATGTGAATTAATTGTTCAAGGGGGGTTGGATTGTAATTGTTCACGGATGGCTGGTTTGAGGTAGGGTCGAATGTGAACCGGCTTGAGTTTGGCCTCATGTGGGGTAGGGTCGAATGTGAACCGGGAAAAGTGGGGTAGGGTCGAATGTGAACCGGGCAATGTTGTTTTTTCCTGGAAGGGTTGCGTATTTTTGGTAGGGTAGGGTTGAATGTGAGGGTGCGTGCTGTTCCCAGAGCATCCTCACTTGAAAAAAATCAATCGCACTTGATTTTTTCAATCGCCACTTGAAAATGCCCAAATTTCAATAGATTTTTTTTCAATCGCAAAATTCAAGTGAAATTTCAATAGGAAAAAAGGAAAATTCAATAGAATTTTCAAGTGAAAATTCAATAGAAAAGTTTGGTTTTTGATCTAAATTTTTCATTTTTCATGCAGCTTCACTTAAACATATATTCATGCCAAGTTGCATATCATGTACTTGTGCTTTTTGTTTTCATGGGGGGGCTGTCCAGCCCATGCTGGGGCTGTCCAGCCCATGAGCTGTCCAGCCCATGATGGGGCTGTCCAGCCCATGGTGGGGCTGTCCAGCCCATGTGGTGGTGATGGGGCTGTCCAGCCCAATGGGAAATTGTGTGCCCACTTCCAGCCCACAACTTGGGGCTGTCCAGCCCATGGCAAGGCAGCCAGTGGGAGCAACCTTTTTCCTCTGGGGCTAGCTTTGGTAGTCCACAGCAGCCCTGCTTTGTACACCTAATTTTCTTCAGGTTCTTTCCTTTCTTCTTCTCTTTGTAGGCTTTCTTCTCCTTGCCCACCTTCTCCCTGCCCATCTCCTTGCCCATCTTCTCCTTGCTCATCTTCTTCTGGTGGGGGCACCATGACTTGGCTATCCTCATTTGGGTCCAGCCTCCAGCTCTGGGTCAGCTGTCTCCTCAGCCTTCACCCAGCTCACTTTCCTTCTCTTGGGCACTGCTTCCATGGCACAGGAGCTTCTCTTTTTTGGGCAGGGCTACCAGAACCAGAAAGGGCTGTGGAGAAAGCTTTCCAGCCTCAACCATTCAAAACTTGTGTGGAATCCAAGAGGCTGTCCAGCCTATCAACCTTCCTTCCTGCAGGACTGCAAAGGCGGTCCAGCCTACCAAGACAGAACTGAAGCAATTCTTTTTTGCTCACCTCCCATCATCATCATCCAGCGAGATGTACCCTTTCAGGTAAAGGTGAAACAGAAGCCTGAATTTTTGCAAGGCCTTCAAGGGAAGCTTCTCAGCTGGAGTGCCACTTGTGCAGCTTGAAGCGATTTGGACTATCCAGCCCATGAAAGATTCACTCCCATATGTCCAGTTCAGGCTGGGGTGCATGAATTTGCTTTGCTCTGCTAAATGGAGCAAAACATGGGATTTCTGCACTAAACTCCAAAGGTGCAAGCCTTCCTCCAAGGCATTGGCTGCCAGCCAGCTGTAGTGGGCCATGAAATCATCCACTGCCTTCTTGAAAGCTTCAAACCGCCATTCTTGCCAGCTGCACTCTAAGACTTGGTATGCCTTGACCAACTGCTTTGCCAATGCTTCCCTGTGCTTCCCAGCCTTGTCCATGCTGTACTCCTTGGCCAGCTCCAAAGCTACTGGGGCAAAATAGCGAATTTTAGCTCCTTTGATGTGCTTGAGGCAAGGGTATTCTTCTGCACTCTCAGCCAGGTCTGACAAAGACAGGTGCTTGATCCTCTTTTGGGCTGCCACCCCCAGCTTGTCATAGGCTTCCACTATCTTCTTGTTCAGGTTGGTTAGCCTGACAGCTCCTCAGCTGGCCAAAAATTGTTTGCTTGCACACACTATATTGGGGCTATCCAGCCGAAAAAAAATGAAGCTGCTATTGCTGGCAAAAATCTGGAAGCTCCTGGCAACTTCTCCATGATGCTAAAAAGCAAAGATCCATGTGCATATGCTGCTACACCAAGGTCCAGGATGTGCAAAATGTCCAGCCTAGGCTGCGGTTTGCCTGAAATCTGTGAAAGGCCTGGGGCTGTCTTCTTTGCACTGGTCTGCATTGCAATAGGAGCAGAGAAGGTTGGCTGCAGCATAAGGGAAACCAAACTCAGCTGCAAACCATTCTAAATCTCCACTCACTGACCATAGCACTCCCCTCCTCATTCTCTTCCCCTTGTATTTCTCTGTGGGCATCCCTGCCTCATCTTTTTTGGGCACCACACCATCCCACAGCACTTTCCAAGACCAAAACTTCCATCAGCTTCTTGGGGGTCTCCTTGGTCATGGCAGCCTTGGGCACAGCTGCGATTAGCATCTGGCTCTGGGTCACTGCCTTGCTGGAAAGCAAGCACCTTCAGGGCACATGGCATCCAGCCCAGGGCTATCCAGCCCAAGGGCTATCCAGCCCAATGAGGCAAAACATAGCAGCCAAGGTGGACATGCAGGCAAGGGCTATCCAGCCCAAAGCAGGAAAGGAAGCCAAGCCTGAAGCTGAGCACCTGGATGCTGTCCACCTCTGTGAAGGGCGCTGCATCTCCATGCAAAAGGTATGGCACTGGAAGCTGGCTTGGTTGTGATGTTTCAATCACTTTCTTCAGCTCAGCTGTCATCTGGGGGCATGAAGATTGGCT